TAGCGGACATGGCTCTCCAACCCCCTCAGCTATCAGACCTCCTCACGGCACGGGGATGTGCGATGGATGCATTGCATCTGGTCAACCGCGTGTTGGACCTGGCGAAGTTGGAGGCAGGCAAGGCGGTGGTGGATGAGACGAGTATCACTGTGCGCGAGTGGCTTCATGCCGCGTTGGAGTGGCATGTGGAGGAAGCACACTCGAAAGGCATTGAATGTGAGTGTAGAATACATTGATGGAGAGGCAGGCAAGGCCGTGGCGGATGAGACGAGTATCACTGTGCGCGAGTGGCTTCATGCCGCGTTGGAGTGGCATGTGGAGGAAGCACGCTCGAAAGGCATTGAATGTGAGTGTAGAATACATTGATGGAGGCAGGCAAGGCCGTGGCGGATGAGACGAGTATCACTGTGCGCGAGTGGCTTCATGCCGCGTTGGAGTGGCACGCGGAACAAGCACGCTCTAGAGGTATGAGCATGAGCATTTGACCCGACCCGACACGACCCGGCCCGACCCGATCCGACCCGACCCGACCCGACCCAGCCTCACCACCGGGGCCGGGCGGGTACCGGGCTGGGCCTTCCCACGTATGGGTCTCCAAAAAGCTTACCCCGACCCGGCCTTGAAGGACCGGGTCACCGGGGGCGGGTCAGGTACATAAACCTGTTTTTTTCTCGCGCTCTGCGCATTTTTGCCCACCTCCTGAGATGCAACTCATTTCGTTTTTCCTTTTCTTTTGTTTCTCCGCCCAACCCGTTTCTCCGCCCAACCCGTTTCTCCGCCCAACCCGTTTCTCCGCCCAACCCGTTTCTCCTTCCCCTGCAATGCACAGAATTGTGGACGACAATGTGCCGGCCGGGTCACATTGTTGCTGACCAGATGCACTTTTTGAGAATTCTCAATAACAACTCATTTTGTTGTTCCCGTTTCCCTTTGTTTCGCCTCCAACCCGTTTCTCCTGCCCCTGTAGTCCTCAGCATTGTGGACGACAACGTTCCGGGTCACATCATTGCCGACCAGATGCATCTTTCCAAAATGCTCAAAGAAATCTTAGGTAATTACCTGCAATTTCATTCAGGTATTCAGGTAACTAATTGATACTGATACTTAACTACCTGAATGAAATCGCAAGAAATTGCATGCTATACTTAGGAGCAGTAATCGTCAACTTACCTTCTTCGCTGGCATTGCAACAGCTTCTGAGCAGTTCCAAGAGTTTCTCATTTAGCCACGTGGAAATATTTTGGGTTTGATACGTTTCAAAAACAGTACATTATCGTTTATGATCACACTGGAGCATTTCAATGGTTCCTCGTTCATGTTCCATCCCGCCCTCGTTCTCACATGTGCCATGGCCTCTATTTTCTGCTCACCACCACTGTAATTTCCGTTTCAGATAACGCAGTGAGGTTCACAGAGCAAGGCCGCGTGACAGTGCGGGTGTCCCTGGTGCCTCGAGGGACAAGCTTGCAAGATGCCCTTTATTGCCAGGGTAAGCAAATTCGTGAACATCGACAGATCTGGGCGACAAAACGGCAAGGCAGGTCGGTTGATTCTCGATTGCCCCCCGTCTCTCCTTGTTCGTCAGCTGCTCTTGCTCCTGCTTCGTGCCCACGCATTGACTGCCAGTAACTGACACAGATCCGATGAATTGTTGTGCGCCTCAAAAACAGGTCCCATGTTTGGCATTCCTCACGCCCACTCTCCCCTTCATTCCACGTTTACCTTTCTCCTCCAGGCCTTCCCACACTTTTGAGAATTCTCAAAAGCGATTCTCACGCCCACTCTCCCCTTCATTCCACGTTTACCTTTCTCCTCCAGGCCTTTCCACACCCGCCTCGCACACACCCGCTTCCTCTCTCGCCAGCTGGGCTGCTGTCTGGTTCTCCTCAAAATGGGCCTGGCTGTACAAGGCGTTAAGGGAACTTCCAGCAGCGGCGGCGGCAGCAGCATCAGCATCAAGTGCTTCGAGCAGCCCTTCCAGGGATCGGCCTGCTGTGCTGGTGGTGTCGTGCCGGGATTCGGGATGTGGCCTGCCAGCGTCTCTCCTGGGAGTCCACAACAGCAAGGAGCCTTCGCACTTCTCCCTCGCAGTGAGCTTTTGTTGTTTGCTCTCACGTTGCTGGTGGTGTGGTGCCGTGCCGGGAATTGGGATGCGGCCTGCCAGCGTTTCTTTTGGGAGTCCACAGAAGCAGCAGGGAGTCTACACACTTATTGCTTGTGGTGAGCTGCTATTGCCTCTGTCGTTTGAGTCGACTCAAAAGTCGTGTCGTGTCGGGATTAGGGAATCGTGAGTTTTATCGCCGTCTCTCCTGGGGGTCCACAGTAGCAGCAAGGAGCTGTCGCACTTCTCGCTCGCAGTGAGTGTTCATGACTTGTGAGGCGCTGAAGGAATTACTGGTGGGGTTGTGTTGGGGGATTGGGGGTGCGGCCTGCCGTTGTCACTCCTGGAAGTGCACAGCAGCGGCCAGCCTTCGCAGTTTTCACTCGTGCGGTGAGTGTGGATGAATGGATACCGCTGGTATCATGTGTGCAATGAGGAATTTAAGTTTTGACATTGCACATAGCACAGTGGTGGGGTGAGGGTGACACATTCTCGCTCACCCTACTTCCACTCCTCTCTGTTCTCGCTCACCCTACTTCCACTCCTCTCTCTTCTCGCTCACCCTACTTCCACTCCTCTCTCTTCTCGCTCACCCTACTTCCACTCCTCTCTGTTCTCCTCCCCTCATCTTGCCCATATCATATTCCATGTATGGCATGGCATGGCATGGCGTGGCGTGGCGTGGCATGGCTCGGCATGGCACATCCACCATCCAGGAGTTGCACGAGGCAGGGAGTGGGTCAGGAGCATCGCTTGGCCTTGTGCTCATGCAGCAGATGGTGAGTGCTCATGCAGCAGATGGTGAGTGCTCATGCAGCAGATGGTGAGTGCTCATGCAGCAGATGGTGAGTGCTCATGCAGCAGCTTTCAACCCAGTCAGGATTGAATCAGCAGATGGTGAGTGCTCATGCAGCAGCTTTCAACCCAGTCAGGATTGAATCAGCAGCAGTCTCAATCGCGGTCGCAGTGTCAGGAGCATTAGCTACTGCAGCAGCACCATCAGCAGCATCAGCAGCCACAGCAGAACCACCAGCAGCGGCAGCAGCAGGCACGAGCCCCGATGATGAAAGCTCATTTGTAGCATCACCAATGCCTGTAGCAGCAACGCCTGTAGCACCAGTGCCTGTAGCAGAGACTACAGCTGCAGCATCCATAGCACCATTGGCAGCAGATGTCACTGCTGTAGTAACAGCCACAGGAGACAAAATCGACTGAAGTTGTTCCTGTTGCTGCTGCTTCTGCTGCTGTTCCTGCTGCTCCACCTGTGTCAGAGCCTCTGCCTGCAAAAGTGGCTTCAGCTCTTGCTGAGAGTTCCCAGCCACACTCCCCACACTGGGAATAACAAGATGGTGTTGCTGACCTGCTTTCTGCTGCTCTTGCTGCTGCTGCTGCTGCTGCTGCTGCTGCTGCTGCTGCAGGTGCTGCTGCTGCTCCTGCTGCTGCGGCTGCTGCTGCTGCTTCTGCTTGCTTCCTGTTGTCCCTAGCACAGAGGCAAGGTAAGTGCTTGGAATCTCGACACTCACTTGGGGTGGAGTAAGAGAGGTACTCTGAACCTGGACAGGCCCCCGAGAGGACGATCTTTTGGGGATTTGCAGCAAAGGGGATGAGGAGAAGTTGGGGATAGGGACGGAAATGACAACAGGAGAGGACGAGGTGTTGGGTTGAGGGGCGGCTGGGAGGGTATGTGCTGCTGCTCCTTCTCCTGTTGCTCCTTCTCCTGCTGCTCCTGCACCTGCTGCTGCTGCTGCTCCCCCTCCTGCTCCTGCTAGTCCTGCAACTCCTCCTCCTCCTCCTGCTACCCCTTTTGCTGCTTCTATTGCTGCTGCCACACCTGCAGCAGCTTCCGTAGAGGTGGCAGCAGCAGCCGAGCTTAAAACCGACTGGACAAAGGTCAACGGGGAGAAGTGCGATACAGGAGAAAGTGGATGGGGATTGGCTGCCGAACCTCCCCTTCCAGACCTCCCCACAGGCTGCCCTGGTGAAGCCCCGAAGCTCCCAGCCGAAGCTCCAGAGCTCCCTACCGAGCCTAACCTCGGGACTAGTAAGGCCGAGCCTAGCCTGGGGACTAGTAAAGGCGAACCTGTTTTAGCGACTAAGGAAGGAGAGGTAGCAGCTGAAATAGGTAGACTGCCTGATGTGGCAGCAGCTGCTGCTGCAGCGGCTGATGCTGACACGGGGGGATGGAGAGTGGGGTGGCGAGGGAGGGGGTTGGGGCGGCAGCGCGTTGGGGAGTGGAGGGAGCTACTGTACCGAGTAGCAAACCCCCTGATGCAGTCGGCAGGGCGGAATCAGAGGGATAGGCGGCATTGGCGCCAGCACCAACGGCAGCACCAGCCACAGCAGTACCAGCAGCAGCAGTTGTAGCCGAGATGGTGGCACCCCCAATAGCAGCAGCGGCGCCAGCAGGAGCAACTCCAGCTGCAGCAGGATAGAAACCAGCAGGGGTAGTGGCAGCTGCAGCAGCACCAGTTGAAGCCACTGGCACAGCAGAAGCCGCAGGAGCAACAGCAGGAGCGGCAGCAGCGGGAGCAGTAGCAGCAGCAATAGACGCTGTTGTCGCCCCCGCCACACCAGTAGGCATGGACCCAGAGCAACCAGGCAGGGGCTGGGACGGGTTGGGGTCTATACCCGCGTTATAGAGCACCCCTTTAAAGATGTGCCCACCGATCTTGACACAGGCGTGGTAGCCGAACTCAAAGTGCCCGTCCACGATTCCCGTCACCCGCACGCTCCTTAGGAGGGTCTGCGCCACCACCTCTGCTGGGAGTGCTGGTGTGGGGCAGAAGAATTGGGAGGGGTGAGGCGGGTTTAAGTAAGATTGTGTGCCAAGGCAGTTCTTTTGAAGGGGTTAAGAGCAACGACAATGTATACATTAATAAGCCCCAACTAAACAACCAACTCACCTTGAGTCTGCTGCGCAGGTGTTTCTGGAAGAGCCAGCAACGATGGCTGCTGCAGTGGCTGCTGTGCCACCTGCTGTTGCTGCTGCAGTGGTGGCTGCTGCAAAGATGGCTGCACCACCTGCTGCTGTTGTTGCTGCTGCTGCTGCTGCTGCTGCTGCTGCTGCTGCTGCTGCTGCTGCTGCTGCTGCTGCTGCTGCTGCTGCTGCTGCTGCTGCTGCTGCTGCTGCTGCTGCTGCTGCTGCTGCTGCTGCTGCTGCTGCTGCTGCTGCTGCTGCTGCTGCTGTTGCTGCTGCTGCTGCTGGTGTTGCACGGGAGCCTGAGTTGGTTGCACCCCCACCTGCTGCTGGTACTGAGACGGAACCAGCAGCAATTGCTGTGACTGGGCTTGAGATTGCCCTTGACCTTGCACTTGAGCTTGCATACCCGTCTGGGCACCTAGCAGCGCCACCGGTCCTCCTGTTTGCGGCTGCTGCTGTTGCTGCGGCGGCGGCGGCTGGACGGGCCCATGACTGGGCATCTGAATCGACACCTGGCCAGGCACCTGAGCCGGCACCTGCGCCTGGGGGATCGGAACCGCTACAGACGCCACTGGGCCTCGCGCAGGCGACCGAGCTATGACAGGTGTCGACATCCCACTGGCTGATAAAAAGCTCGAGTTTCCCAACGCCCCGAGAGCAGCACCAGGCGCCACCGCAGCAGGCCCCATCGCAGCAGCAGCAGCAGCACCAGCAGCAGCACCAGCAGCACCAGCAGCAGTAGCTGCAGCAGTGGCGGTAGTGGAATACGGCACAGGCATGGTAATGGGTCCAGTCACGGGCGACTGCGACTCGCTGCCTCGCGCGCGCTTCGTCCGCGGCGGCACGGGCCGCATAGTCGCCGCCATTGCGCGCGCGGCGGACTCCATCTGCTCGCGCTTTCTCCGCTCCGCCGCGGGGACCCACGTGCTGCGCACGTGCGTCGCGCAGCTGTATCCGCGCGCCTTGCAGCACGTGCGGCAGCGGCGGTACGGGCAGTCGCGCTTGGAAGCGTTTCCGCACTCCATGCACGAATTGCCCTCGCGGAAAATGGCCGGACCGAGGGGCTGAATGACTGGGAGTGTCACTACTTGCTGCTGCTGACCCGGCTGCTGATGCTGCTGTTGCTGCTGCGAGTGCTGCGGTTGTTGCTGGTGCTGCGGCTGAGTGCCCATTGGCAACGGGACTATAACGGGAGTGAGCGGCTGTTGGAGTGGCTGTAGCTGCTGTGGCTGTAGCGGCGGCTGCTGTTGCAACATCTCCAGCTTCGGTTGAGAGAGTTGCTGCTGATTTGGCTGCGGCGATTGAGTCGGGCCGCCAGGGGGAGCTGGAGGAGGAAGAGGGGAGATAGGTGCGCCATCCGCTGCAGTCGCCATTGCTGGTTACCCCAACACTCACGAAACCGCCGGTCGCAAACCGACACTCACAATTTCAATATGTTTATTTAAAGCAGAGAAGAATCCGCTTGCTGTAACATTGGCCTTTTCTTGCAAAACTGCGGTGCAAAACGGAAGCCTTTACTTCTAATGATCGGCGATTAGTATTGTCCGGAAAACATGACTGGCATATGAACAATCGACCGAGTAGAGTTGCATATCCAGAACGTCGTTGGAACCTGAAAAACGGGAAAGAGAACATCACAACGAACAGATATGAACGAAAGGGAAAAAATGAGAGCGTTGCACACCGCATGGCTTTTGAGTCGACTAAAAAAGTCACTATGGGGAAGTCGAATCCAGATTCCTAACGACGTTTGACAAGTCGCGCAGCCAGAGTCAGCACGGCACGCCGATTCGCGACGACGAGAAGAGGCACAATGTGATAGATTCTCTCATCAAAGGTGCGTTTTGAGTAAATTCTTCAAATATTTCACGGCACTTCCGGAAGCACGAAGATAAGGAAAAAGAAGGGCTGCGACCGAATTATGACAAAAAGCGATAACCATGGGAACCCGCGTAACGGGAAAGATTATAAAAGCGGGCGAAGCGGATTCGGCTGGAAAGTATTTTCATGCCGAGGAAGATAAAGATGACGATGAGGATCGGAAACGACGATGAATGGAATGTCAAATATTATAATAACCCTGGAGATTATCCAGAGAGAAGTTGACACAAACTTACGTCACAAACGTACGTGCTGTGGGGATTTGAGTAGCGGAAGGGAAGGGAGCGAACATGGAACTCCTAGGTCAATCTAGCCTAGAAAGCTACGACTAGCTTCTAGAATGAGGTGGTAGGGAAACCCTAGTCCTAGATGACCTGCACGGCTAGCGCTCTACGCCCTGGGATTGGCTGTCGGGAATTTCAGGAGGATAGGCTAGGTCAGGCTAGGCTGGGCAGAATCTTCAAGATTCGTAACGTTAGGTAGGGATACAGCGCGGTGAAGTGCCGTTGTTGGTTCCAACATGTGTGGAGTTCCAGCCCTTGTACACCTGATGTCCATTCCAGTCCCGTTTCCCATCTTGCTCTGTGCTCCTCTTTCGAGTGCGCGTTCGCTACGGGGAGAATGGGACTGTATCTGGGTAGCCTGGCGTGTCTTGTCTGGGAAACTCGAATAACTTATTCGAGGACAAGAATATCTAAGTTTTTTCGTGGGCTAGTAACGCGCGGGCCACGCCGCGAATGTCGACCACTGGGCGTATGCAGAGGCAGCGGCCGTGTTCAGATTGGGCGGTTGAGTGAGCATTAGGGTGTACAAGGCCAGGGCGGGCGGGGGCAGTCTGCCATTCCAGGGTTGACTCTTCCCCAAAGCGCATGCCTTGTGGGCAGGGTTTATTTTTACGGGGGGCAGATGACGGACCGTCTCGGGCTTCTTTGACGGCCCGACTGTATTTCTGTGGGGCTTCCCTGACATACATTTTTACCCTACCCAGAGCCGCCGTACCGAACTGTACACTTCTGAATACAGAAAGGTGTAGCTGTCGATTGCGGTCCAAGCTTGTGTGGTGGTTGAGCAAGTTTTAGCGAGCTGGCGTACGGCTTGCGTGGTTATGGCTTGCCGCGGATCAAGGTAAGGATTTGTGGTCACACAGCGATCGATGCCACAGTCGAGTCGACGGTGCAGTCGTGTGAAAACATATTGTGGATGAAAAGGGACTCTGGGTTCTACAATTACACCCATAAAATTTTCAAGACGTGAAAGAGAAATAATTTCCGTAATTCCCATTTTCATGTCTGGGTAGAAGCGATTTGTATAAGTGCATAGGCACGACTGAACAACTCACTCAGACGCATTTATGCGCTGCAAGTGTTCGTCATTTCAACGACTTTACAGGCGGCTAATTTTGTCACACCAGCTGTAAGTTCACGCGTGTGAATGAATTCCCATTTTGCCGGACTGCAGAGCAGAATCCAGATTTCAGAACACCCACATTGCATGCATCTGTTCTGTACACCGCTGTGCACCGAACGTGATAATCAGGGCCTGTTTCACGAATCACGATTCACGCACGGCCCCTGCAGTTGTTGGCTTATACAGTAGCGTGAGCCTCTTTAAGAATTTGGATTATCGATCTTACAGTTGGTGCCCATTTCAAGAACAGAAGGTAGTCGGGCGGCATGTGCGTGAAACATGTTTCCATTTGTCGCTTACTTCGCCCTCCTCGTCACGGGCAAAGTTGTGATTGTAAAATGAATTTGCCGTGGAAGTGGAATGTGGGTGTTTAAGTCTCGTAACCAGGTCAACGTTTCAGATGACGTGTCTGACGGGCAACCCTTGTTGTTTTGAACTGTAGATGTTGAATTTTTAGTGACTGTACCTCGATTTTTTTTTCCAAATGCTCAATTTACTCAACATCACGGGAAAAAACGTTCGCGAGTGAGTAAATTTCTAAATATGGCGAGCAAATTTTGTATGATAGGCTGAGCATCGACTGTACCTACGCCTGCACATGCATAACTCCAATGTGCATTCTGTCTGTTATGTGCCGATGGCCACGCGGTAGATATAGGAAAATTGACTCCCCGCTATTCCCCGCCCGCCCAGCCCGCCGTTTTGCTTCTACTCACCTGAAAATAACGTGCTTAAAAAACTAGGAGTTGCTTCACCACGGCAAACCGATTTGCCACTTCGCCAGAAGTACTACCATTGGCGACGCCGCGTAGTGGTATCCGTGGACAATTAGCGAAAGGAGCGACGGGTATCCGCTAGGTCGTATATGGTCAGGACCGTACGCCGAGGCGGGGAAAGTTGTTGCTAGCATAGTTAAAAACACCGCGGGTTACTGCGACGCATGGCGGAAGATCGAGTCAGAGGCGGTTGGAACAGGCACGTGACGACACGCAATGCGAAGCAGGCTCGGAGGAAAAAGACAACAGAGGGAGGTCCTGTGATTTGCTCCGCCGCGGTGCTATTCCAGGGTGAGAGTGACAAGCGAAGTGCTCGGCTTTCATCCCAAAAAAGTCCCCCGCGAAATTCTACAGACCGAGCGCCATGCGCGACGCGCGCGGCCCGCGCAGGAGCTTCCCCCGGCCCGTTTCCCCCCACCCCCGCGCAAAACGAGTCGTTTACCACTACCTTCCCCCATCCGCCTCACTGAGGCAAAAAAAGCTAAGGTATTATCCGCGGCCGTCCCCGCCGTTCCGCCGTCCCGTGCGTCATCCGGTCCCGTCCGCGTCCGGCGCCAATTTGTTGCCCCCCGATCTGTGCCGCCGCCATCTACTAACACCTCGCTGCCCGCGGCTGGGTCAAAACGAGGGTGTTATTTCGGCGCAGCGGAATCCCCACTAAGGGTGCATCCCTGGTTGGTGGCAGGGCAACTGTTCACATCGAGTTGGTGGCAAGTGTACCCGAAGATTCAGTGGGCCGGAAAATGCGCTTGCCACCAACTCGATGTGAACAGTTGCCCTGCCACCAACTCAGGGATGCACCCTAACACAACCCACAGGCGTTACACTCGTCCCCCCCTGGTGCCAACGTCCTCGGTGGCGACCCCCCCCTGGAGTGGGCCCCACACAACACAGGGACCTCGATTTCGCTGAGAAGGCAGCAGCTACTTTGCTCGTGGACCAGGCCAGCGGAGGATCGTTCGCTGGGTTAAAGTCTGGTTACACATTCAGGTTCTCGCCTCAGGCGGAAAATGTGGACCAGCCAGGATTTGAACCCTAGGCTCTGATTCCAGTATAACACCTCGCTGCCCGCTGGGTCAAAACGAGGGTGTTATTTGGCGCAGCGCAATGCCCATTAACACAACCCACAGGCGTTACAGCAGGCGCCCGGCTGCCTGCCCCCGTCAGCCTCCCATCCATCTGCCGTCATCCAATCTACCTTCCCCCCATCCGGTTCCCCCCCATACGGTTTACCCCCATCTGGTTTCCCCCCATCCGGTTTCCCCCAATCCGATTTCTCCTCATCCGTGTTTCAGATCCGCCTTCATTCACCCTACAGCTTTCTCCTCATCCGCACATCCCCCATCCACCCTCTCTTTCCCGTCTCTCTCTCGCCCAGCTCCCTGGTCCACAGTGCTGGTGACAGCATAGGTTCTGCTGTGTGTTCTTGTCCTTTCTCTCCCCCTCTTCCTCCCATCCCCCTCTCCCCCTTCTCTATCTCCTCTGCCGCTCTCTGCCCCCCCTTCTCTCCCCTTGCCCAGCCCCCTGGTTCACAGTGGTCGTGGCGGCGTGGGTGCTGGGTGCTCTTCTCGTGGCGGGGTGACTTTTGAGTCGACTCAAAAGTCACCTCGTGGCGGCGTGGGTGCTGGGTGCTCTTCTCGTGGCGGGGTGACTTTTGAGTCGACTCAAAAGTCACCTCGTGGCGGCGTGGGTGCTGGGTGCTCTTCTCGTGGCGGGGTGACTTTTGAGTCGACTCAAAAGTCACCTCGTGGCGGCGTGGGTGCTGGGTGCTCTTCTCGTGGCGGGGTGACTTTTGAGTCGACTCAAAAGTCACCTCGTGGCGGCGTGGGTGCTGGGTGCTCTTCTCGTGGCGGGGTGACTTTTGAGTCGACTCAAAAGTCACCTCGTGGCGGCGTGGGTGCTGGGTGCTCTTCTCGTGGCGGGGTGACTTTTGAGTCGACTCAAAAGTCACCTCGTGGCGGCGTGGGTGCTGGGTGCTCTTCTCGTGGCGGGGTGACTTTTGAGTCGACTCAAAAGTCACCTCGTGGCGGCGTGGGTGCTGGGTGCTCTTCTCGTGGCGGGGTGACTTTTGAGTCGACTCAAAAGTCACCTCGTGGCGGCGTGGGTGCTGGGTGCTCTTCTCGTGGCGGGGTGACTTTTGAGTCGACTCAAAAGTCACCTCGTGGCGGCGTGGGTGCTGGGTGCTCTTCTCGTGGCTGGGGCCCTCCTTACCATCTCTCCTTTTTCTCCACCCCCTTCGACTCCTCCCACGCTATCTTCCCCCCATCCCCCTTGCCCAGCGCCCTGGTTCACGGTGCTCGTGGCGGGGTGGCGTGGGTGCTGTGTGCTCTTGTCGTGGTTGGAGCCTCCCTGATCAGCTCCCCTTCCTCTCTCCGCTCTCTCTCCTCTGCCTCTCTCTCCTCTGCCTCTCTCTCCTCTGCCTCTCTCTCCTCTGCCTCTCTCTCCCTCCCTCTCGAATTCCCAGCCCCCTGGTTCACAGTGCTGATGACGGCGTGGGCGCTTTGTGGGCTGGCCGTTGCTGGGCCCCCATCTCATCTCTCCTTTCTCTCCACCCCTCTCTTTCTCTTTCTCATTTCGCTCTCCTTTCTTCCCCCCCCCTCTCCCTCACCCAGCCCCCTGGTTCACGGTGCTGGTGACGGCGTGGGTGCTGTGTGGGCTGGCAGTAGCAGCATGGCTGCTGTGGGACCGGCACTCGCAGTACGAGAGCCGCAGGGAGGAGGCGCTGGGCGTGTGGTGCAAGGAGCGCGCCCTCATGCTGCAGCAGCTCGTGCTTACCAATGTTGGACAGACCCAGGTAAGGCAGGAGTGTTGCCATCATTCTTACCGTACCTCCTGCTGCAAGGGTGCTGCCCTCCTGCCCTCCTGCCCTCCTGCCCTCCTGCCCTCCTGCCCTCATGCTCCAGCAGCTCGTGCTGACCAATGATGTCGGGCAGACCCAGGTAAGGCAGGAGTGGTTTCTGCACTTTCGAGGTCACTGCCGCCCCCGCCGCCATTGCTGCTGCTCCTGTTGCCCATTGCTGTTGCTGTTGGTAGCTGGTGCTGGTGCTGTTGTCGTCATCGTCGTCAGCGTCGTCGTTGCGTCGTCGCTGTTCCCGTCGTTATCGCCGTCTCCGTACCGTTACTCGCTGTTGATATCGTGGTTGCGCCTGCAATCGATGTTGCGCTTATAGCTGTAATTGTTGTTGCCGTTGCCGTTGCCGTTGCTGTCGCTGTTGCTGTCGCTGTCGCTGCTGTTGTTGTCGTCATTGTTGTCGTTGCATTGTCGCTGTTCCTGTCGTTATCTCCATCACTGTTGCTCGCTGTCGTCGTCGTCGCCGTCGTCGTTGGTTCTCTTCCTTCCCATTTAAACCTTCAACAGTCAACCCTTCCCCCTTCCCCTTTTATTTTCTCAGTGTTGACCACCCCAGGGCAGGTGGGAAAGTGAGTCCATGACTGTGCTTTCAAAAAATCACTCAATGATATAACTTCCCTGATGTTGTTTTCTCTGTCCTCCCATGCACAGACACTCACAGGCATCATATCAGTGATGGGCAGGCCAGGGCGGAGGGGCAAATGGGAGCTGGACACGTGTTTGAATGGCAGCACCTGGGAGGCCTACCTCACTTGCATCGCCTATGCCCGTCCAGGCAACACGGGGGCGCTCTCTTGTGTCTTTGTCAGGGATGAGGAGAGGTGAGAGAGAGGTGGAAACTGGGTTTGGGAGAGAGGGGAGGTTCAAGGGGAGAAGGGACTGTGACATGTGGTATCCTCTGGCACCTCAAAGTCTGGGAAACACGGGTGTGCTATCCTGTGTTTTTGTGAAAGGTCCTAAGAGCATCAAAGGAAGTGGCAAGAGACTGTTTTCGAGGTGCCTAAAAAATCGAGCGGGGAGCACGGGCGGGGGCGCTCTCCTGTGTAGCACGGGCGGGGGCGCTCTCCTGTGTTTTTGAATAAGGTCTAAGGGAGGCGAGGAATATGGCCAATGTCAGCGCCCACCGCCCCATCTACTGCCCCATGTTCCTCAAACTCACTTGCTCTTCGTCTTCCCTTGTACCTGATTCCACCCACCCACACACACACACCATTGCAGGGCGGCCTTTGAGCGGCAATACGGCAGCATAAGAGACAACACACTAAATGTCAGCACCCACCGCCCCATCTACTGCCCCAAGATCCTGCAATTCTCCACGACAGTAGCAATGAACGGCACACAGAATGTAGATGTCATGAAGCGATTCCCCACAGAAGTTCCCCTTGCTGTGGAGGGAAGGCCTTTCTACACGTGGCCATATCCCCTGGCTAATTCGTCCACCAACGCTGGATTCGGTGAGTTGCTGGTCCGGGTTTCCACGACTGTGGCCATGAACAACACGCAGAGTGTCGATCTCATGAAGCGATTCCCCACGGAGATCCCGCTGGCTGTGGAGGGAAGGGAAGGCTGTTCTACACGTGGCCATATCCCCTGGCTAATTCGTCCACCAATGCCGGGTTCAGTGAGTTGGGAATTGCTTTGAGTCGACGAGAAGAGGGGTTTTGTGCCCTAGGAGCGTTTGCAAGCAGAAATAGGTTCTTACATTTCATTCTTCTTTTCTTTTCGCGTTTCAGGGTCTATGGTAAAGGCAGTGGTTTTGTGTTCGCAGAATGAAGAACGTTTTGTTCCCTATTATGGTGAATGCATTTTTGTGCTTTGAAAACAAAAAAAACGAAAAGATGAAAAGCGTTTTTTTCTTGTTCTCTTGCTCTGATTGTTGCTGATTCAGGTGTGGCCTTTCCTCTTCGCCGCACAAACCATTCGCAGCAAGCAGCCGTGTCTATGGTGTATGGCACACTTGCTGCATCTGTAGACGTGACATCCATTGCTAAGAAGGTCGTGAACGAGTTGTATGCTCCTGGTGAGTGAAGTTCTGTTCGAGCCTAGTGGACTCACTACACCACTTACCACTTGCGGCAAGCAGCCGTGTCGCTGGTACACTATATTGGACCTTATCTGCATCTGTAGACGTGACATCCATTGCAAAGAAGGTTGTGGGAGAGGTGTATGCACCTGGTTAGTGGCGGAGCTTTACATACCATGTGAGAATTTTGAGCCATAGGTGAGTGATTTTAGTCTGCTGGGTGTGCTACATCGGGTGTACAATCAAATCTTGAGACGTCTCAAATTTCGGAGGCTTACGTAGCTTGGTGTGTCTCCTAGTGCCCTAACGTTTAGGATTCTTTGGCCTTCATCCATCACCTGTTCCCCTTCTTTTCCCTCTCCCCTCTTCCTCCTGCCCCCCTCCAGACCCATCAAAGTCCTTTGAGCTTTACGATGTCACGAACCGATCGACCCTCTTCGCCATCGTCTCACCGGTCCCGCTGCACATCTACGTCCTCCCCACCGATGCCGCCGCTCGCATGCTTCCCTCTCCTGTGTCCGAAACGCGTCCCTGGGAAAACCCTGCTATGGTGCCTCTCGAAGAGATGGGAGCAGGCGTGCGCAAGTATGAAGTTTGGTGCAGGTGGGCAATCAAAAGGATTGTGTGTGCGTGCGTGCATGCGTGCGCGTGCGTGTGCGTGTGTGTGTGTGTGTGTGTGTGTCTGTGTGTGTGTGTGTGTGTGTGTGCGTGTGTGTGTGTGTGTGTGCGTGTGCGTGTGTGTGTGTGTGTGTGTGTGTGTGTGTGTGTGTGTGTGTGTGTGTGTGTGTGCGCGTGTGTGTGTGTGCGTGCGTGCGTGTGTGTGTGTGTGTGTGTGTGTGTGTGTGTGTGTTTTCTTTATGCGCATGCACTGATTTTGTTTTCTTTTCGTGCGCATGCACTGCATTACAAAACACGTAATTCTCTATATCTTCCCTACCATTTATCTCCCATCCAGGCACACAGAGCCTCCCAACACGTGGCAATCATGGGGCATCCCCATCCTCATCGCCCTCTTCGCCCTCCTCCTGGTGCTGCTCGTGCTGGTAGCGGCTCGAATTCAGCGAGCCCAGTTCTTCCAGACACAGCAGCAGATGGCAGTTGCAGACAAACTGAGGAAGGAAGCAGAGGGTGCAGAGGCATCAAAGAGCATGTTCGTAGCGTGCATGTCTCATGAGCTCAGGACCCCGATGACAGGAATTATTGGTAAGTCTGAGCGCCTGACACAATTTTGCCATGTATTATATAATTTCATATTATTCATTATGTTATATTATATTATATTATTACATTACATTACATTACATTACATTACATTATATTATATTATATTATATTATATTATATTATATTATATTATATTATATTATATTATATTATATTATATTATATTATATTATATTATATTATATTATATTATATTATATTATATTATATTATATTATAATGTATATTGTTATAGAATATAATATTTCAGTTTGCAATATAACACTTATCACATATCCAACTTGTCCATATCACGTCCTGCTTACGCCACCTTTCTTCCTATATTATCCCTCTCTCCCACCAGGCATGCTTGACGCTTTAGCGGACATGGCTCTCCAACCCCCTCAGCTATCAGACCTCCTCACGGCACGGGGATGTGCGATGGATGCATTGCATCTGGTCAACCGCGTGTTGGACCTGGCGAAGTTGGAGGCAGGCAAGGCGGTGGTGGATGAGACGAGTATCACTGTGCGCGAGTGGCTTCATGCCGCGTTGGAGTGGCATGTGGAGGAAGCACACTCGAAAGGCATTGAATGTGAGTGTAGAATACATTGATGGAGAGGCAGGCAAGGCCGTGGCGGATGAGACGAGTATCACTGTGCGCGAGTGGCTTCATGCCGCGTTGGAGTGGCATGTGGAGGAAGCACGCTCGAAAGGCATTGAATGTGAGTGTAGAATACATTGATGGAGGCAGGCAAGGCCGTGGCGGATGAGACGAGTATCACTGTGCGCGAGTGGCTTCATGCCGCGTTGGAGTGGCACGCGGAACAAGCACGCTCTAGAGGTATGAGCATGAGCATTTGACCCGACCCGACACGACCCGGCCCGACCCGATCCGACCCGACCCGACCCGACCCAGCCTCACCACCGGGGCCGGGCGGGTACCGGGCTGGGCCTTCCCACGTATGGGTCTCCAAAAAGCTTACCCCGACCCGGCCTTGAAGGACCGGGTCACCGGGGGCGGGTCAGGTACATAAACCTGTTTTTTTCTCGCGCTCTGCGCATTTTTGCCCACCTCCTGAGATGCAACTCATTTCGTTTTTCCTTTTCTTTTGTTTCTCCGCCCAACCCGTTTCTCCGCCCAACCCGTTTCTCCGCCCAACCCGTTTCTCCGCCCAACCCGTTTCTCCTTCCCCTGCAATGCACAGAATTGTGGACGACAATGTGCCGGCCGGGTCACATTGTTGCTGACCAGATGCACTTTTTGAGAATTCTCAATAACAACTCATTTTGTTGTTCCCGTTTCCCTTTGTTTCGCCTCCAACCCGTTTCTCCTGCCCCTGTAGTCCTCAGCATTGTGGACGACAACGTTCCGGGTCACATCATTGCCGACCAGATGCATCTTTCCAAAATGCTCAAAGAAATCTTAGGTAATTACCTGCAATTTCATTCAGGTATTCAGGTAACTAATTGATACTGATACTTAACTACCTGAATGAAATCGCAAGAAATTGCATGCTATACTTAGGAGCAGTAATCGTCAACTTACCTTCTTCGCTGGCATTGCAACAGCTTCTGAGCAGTTCCAAGAGTTTCTCATTTAGCCACGTGGAAATATTTTGGGTTTGATACGTTTCAAAAACAGTACATTATCGTTTATGATCACACTGGAGCATTTCAATGGTTCCTCGTTCATGTTCCATCCCGCCCTCGTTCTCACATGTGCCATGGCCTCTATTTTCTGCTCACCACCACTGTAATTTCCGTTTCAGATAACGCAGTGAGGTTCACAGAGCAAGGCCGCGTGACAGTGCGGGTGTCCCTGGTGCCTCGAGGGACAAGCTTGCAAGATGCCCTTTATTGCCAGGGTAAGCAAATTCGTGAACATCGACAGATCTGGGCGACAAAACGGCAAGGCAGGTCGGTTGATTCTCGATTGCCCCCCGTCTCTCCTTGTTCGTCAGCTGCTCTTGCTCCTGCTTCGTGCCCACGCATTGACTGCCAGTAACTGACACAGATCCGATGAATTGTTGTGCGCCTCAAAAACAGGTCCCATGTTTGGCATTCCTCACGCCCACTCTCCCCTTCATTCCACGTTTACCTTTCTCCTCCAGGCCTTCCCACACTTTTGAGAATTCTCAAAAGCGATTCTCACGCCCACTCTCCCCTTCATTCCACGTTTACCTTTCTCCTCCAGGCCTTTCCACACCCGCCTCGCACACACCCGCTTCCTCTCTCGCCAGCTGGGCTGCTGTCTGGTTCTCCTCAAAATGGGCCTGGCTGTACAAGGCGTTAAGGGAACTTCCAGCAGCGGCGGCGGCAGCAGCATCAGCATCAAGTGCTTCGAGCAGCCCTTCCAGGGATCGGCCTGCTGTGCTGGTGGTGTCGTGCCGGGATTCGGGATGTGGCCTGCCAGCGTCTCTCCTGGGAGTCCACAACAGCAAGGAGCCTTCGCACTTCTCCCTCGCAGTGAGCTTTTGTTGTTTGCTCTCACGTTGCTGGTGGTGTGGTGCCGTGCCGGGAATTGGGATGCGGCCTGCCAGCGTTTCTTTTGGGAGTCCACAGAAGCAGCAGGGAGTCTACACACTTATTGCTTGTGGTGAGCTGCTATTGCCTCTGTCGTTTGAGTCGACTCAAAAGTCGTGTCGTGTCGGGATTAGGGAATCGTGAGTTTTATCGCCGTCTCTCCTGGGGGTCCACAGTAGCAGCAAGGAGCTGTCGCACTTCTCGCTCGCAGTGAGTGTTCATGACTTGTGAGGCGCTGAAGGAATTACTGGTGGGGTTGTGTTGGGGGATTGGGGGTGCGGCCTGCCGTTGTCACTCCTGGAAGTGCACAGCAGCGGCCAGCCTTCGCAGTTTTCACTCGTGCGGTGAGTGTGGATGAATGGATACCGCTGGTATCATGTGTGCAATGAGGAATTTAAGTTTTGACATTGCACATAGCACAGTGGTGGGGTGAGGGTGACACATTCTCGCTCACCCTACTTCCACTCCTCTCTGTTCTCGCTCACCCTACTTCCACTCCTCTCTCTTCTCGCTCACCCTACTTCCACTCCTCTCTCTTCTCGCTCACCCTACTTCCACTCCTCTCTGTTCTCCTCCCCTCATCTTGCCCATATCATATTCCATGTATGGCATGGCATGGCATGGCGTGGCGTGGCGTGGCATGGCTCGGCATGGCACATCCACCATCCAGGAGTTGCACGAGGCAGGGAGTGGGTCAGGAGCATCGCTTGGCCTTGTGCTCATGCAGCAGATGGTGAGTGCTCATGCAGCAGATGGTGAGTGCTCATGCAGCAGATGGTGAGTGCTCATGCAGCAGATGGTGAGTGCTCATGCAGCAGATGGTGAGTGCTCATGCAGCAGATGGTGAGTGCTCATGCACCAGATGGTGAGTGCTCATGCAGCAGATGGTGAGTGCTCATGCACCAGATGGTGAGTGGTCGGATAGTTGCTGCTACATGCTCGCGCTTTTCTTAGGCCACCATTTTTGAAATATGCGCTCGGGCAGAATGAAATGAGTATGAGCTACGATCGAAGAATGTATCAGTTTATCTTATAGCTATTTGCTATTTTTAACTCGCAGGTGACTCTAATGAAGGGGGAGATCTCTTTTGACTCCCAGCCTGGCTGTGGCTCCACTGTGGCGTTTTCCGTGCCTGTGGCTGTTCCCTCGCTACAAGAACATTGCTCAGATGAGGAACTCGAAGTGTTGGAATCGCAAGAAGTGCAGAGTCAGAAGCAACGGCAACAGCATCATCATCACCATCATCATCATCCGCAGCAGCAGCAGCAGCAGCAGCACCACCAGCACCACCAGCAGCAACAGGAACAGCAGCAAGAGGAGCAGCAGCAACAACTGCACCAATGGCTGCCAGCAGCAGCCCCAGCAGCAGCAGCAGCAGCAGCAGCAGCAGGAGGCACCCCAGCACCAACTAGAGCGATCACTAGAGGGGACGGGGAGGGTGGGCAGCGAGGGGGACTGCTCGAGAGCCCTGGAGAGAACAGCAGAACGGGAGAGCGTGAGGAAGAGCAGCAGCGGCGACTACACTCGCCCCGTCTCTGCCAATGCAGCCACAGGAGCATCTGCAATTTGCGGGTCTTTCGAGCATTTGCGTGCGGATGAGGCGGTGACGAGGGCGTGGGTGGGAGGGCTGCGAGTGCTCGTGGTGGACGACACGCCCGTCAACCTCCTCGTGGCCCGCCGCTCCCTCGCCCGCTGGGGTGCACACGTCACCACAGCATCCCGTGGGGAACAAGCGCTAGAGTTGATAACTGCTGGGGTGGCGGAGGGGGGAGGGCAGGAGGAGGCGAGAGGCGAACATGCTGTTGGGGAGGAGGCGAGAGGGGAGCAGGAGGCGAGAGGGCAGGAGGAGGGGGGTGCATTATTGCAGCATGGCTTTGACTTGGTTCTCATGGACCTGCAGATGCCAGGGATGGACGGGTGAGTGAAAGGCATGGGTGAGTGAAAGGCATGGGTGAGTGGTGGTGAGTAGTGGGCATGGGCGGGTGAGTGGTTATGAGTGGTTGTGAATAATGGGCATGGCTTTGTGAGTCATGAACGTGTGTACTAGACCTTATCCCTGTGCGAACCTGGTTTATAGCAAACTTAATCCCCCTCCGCTTGATGTTTTTTTGGTTCCTTCATTCCTTCCTCCTGTTCCTCCCTTCCTCCTGTTCATCCCTTTTGTCAGAGGTCCACTGGAGATCCCCGATTGATCCTAGGGAAGGGTTACAGGCACGTTGGCCTGGGGGGTTATGGGCGCACTCACCCGCTACACAAAAAAAATCCCTTCTATCTCAGTGGTTAGTGGCTGGGATTCTGACACCTTTCCCCTGTTATTCTTTCGTCTGTTCATCCCTTTCCCCTGTTATTATTTCCGTGGCAGCTTCGCAGCAGCAGCAGCCATACGAGCCCTCGAGAGAAAAGTGGAGTTTGATTCAATTGTACGGGCACAGCAATTGCAGCAGCAGGGGCAACGGCACACCCCTTCTGATCTAGCCATCCCACCCCTCGAATCTTTGAACCTTGCTGCTGCCGCAGCCGCTGCAGCAGCCGCCGCCGCTGCTGCTGCTACTGCCGCTGCTTCTTCTGCTGCTGGAGCTGCTGCAACTTCTGCTGGTGCTGTTGCTGTTGCTGCTTGTGGTGGTAAGCGGCCCGTCTCCCTGAGGGTGCCCATAGTGGCGCTGACGGCAGACGTGGATCGCGGAGTGGTGCAGAGGTGTGCAGAGGGGGGGTTTGACGGTGTGCTGCAGAAGCCAGTGGATGCCCACCTGCTCGCCGCCCACCTCTCCCACATGCACCCCCAGAGGTCCCTCCTACGGGTCGTGTCACACCCCAGCTTTTGAGAATTCTCAAAAAGAGATCCCTCCCGCGGGTCATGTCACACCCCGCCCTTGGTCAAGCTACCGACAGATACGACAGATACGACAGCTGCAGCAGTGAATGATCCTTCAGATGGCTCAAAACTCATGCCTGGCGGGTCGGGTCGTGTCACAATCCACTGTCAGCCAAACCATGAACAGACATGACAGATGCAGCGGCCAATGATGCAGCAGTCAGTAATTCAACACCTCAACTATCCCCTTTTCTAGGTGCCTCAAAAATTCACTTCGATAAGTCGTGGTCACACTCGGGTTGTTTCACTACGCCTGCAGACCACCCCAACCACTGACACGTACTGCACTTGCAGCAGTCAATTATCCAGCATTAACGGTAGCATTATTTACCGGAGCATCTCACACTGAGGTTGTTTCGCTATGCCTGAAGACCACCCCAACCACTGACACGTGCGGCACATCCAGCAGCCAGTGATATTTCGACTGAGCGAGACTTCCTCGGGTTGCTTCACTGCGCCTGGCAAACACTGAAACTACTGACAAACATGACAGGCACGCCAAATCCTGCTGCTGTTGCACTGACTGATCAGATGGTGCCCCCAAGAAGACGGATTTTGTGCTAGCTGCATTTTTTATATGGTATGGATGATTATCAATGCTCTTAATTGACATGCTGTCTGCATGGTTTAGCACAGCAAACAAATGCTATACTTGAGCCTTGTGTCAGGCTAGACACTAGTTGAATTGCACTGACTGCAGTTGTGCGTCGTGAACTTGTGGCCAAATTAGTCATTTACCATAACCCCTTGTACTGGTATATGCCACCCCCCAAGACTGAAGACTAGTGGATGGCTTATGCAAACCTGGGTGCTATAGTATTCAGCAAATGTTGACTATGGTTAGCACATCAAACTGAAGCTACATCAAACTGAAGCTATCCGGCAACTTGCATCAATAACTGCCAAGTGAACAGTGCAAGCATCAATAAACTGAAATCAGTCGCTGCCTCGTAGAACAGTTTCGCTTCATCTTCCTCCCCGTTCCCCACATGAACATCATCCATGATCTCGACGCCTCCCTTGACTTTTGAGACGCCTCAAAAGTCATCCATGATCTTGACGCCTCCCTTGTCGTGATGAGGGGCGAGAAGAGAATGTGTCGTCTCTTGCTGCTGTCCATGCCATATCGGTGGAGATGCCGCGTGGACGTCTTCAAGGGGCGAGAGATGATGCCTACGGGCAGAGGATGTGATAAGTCGATTTCTGAGATGACTAAAAAATCGACGAGGCCTACGGGCAGAGGATGTGATAAGTCGATTTCTGAGACGACTAAAAAACCGACGAGGCCTGCGGGCAGAGGATCCCACCCACGCATCCACAATGCACTCCAAGTCCGTCAGAAGAATCTCGTCAGCTGTTTTCAGCCAGCGAGCTGGGTCACCACCAGCTGGCGAGCTGGGTCACCACCAGCTGGCGAGCTGAGCCAGTGTGATACCCTCTGGGTCTGGCGTGTCTATGGTACCGTTCAGTAGTTTGAAGGTTACTTGACTGTTGTAAGGCATCGAAAAAAAAGAGGGCTTCGAGCCGTGCAAATATCACCGGCTGCTTCACGTGCCGTGGTCTGTGTGAGTAGCGGGAGTGTAGGGATGGTCAGGGGGATGTCATGAAACATCCTGAGTGGATTTTTTAGTTGACTCAAAAACATCACCGGCTGCTGCACGTACCGTATGTGTGTGTCAGTAGTGGGAGTATGGGAATGGTCTGGGGATGTAGTGAAACAACCCGTGTGTTGTGAGTACCTTCCCATAATATTGACAGTCGGATTATTGACTGCCGCATCTGTCGTGCCCGTTTATGGTTCGACTGACAGTGGGGTGTGACACAGTTCGCGGGAAAGACCTCTGGGGGTGCATGTGGGAGAGGTGGGCGGCGAGCAGGTGGGCATCCACTGGCTTCTGCAGCACACCGTCAAACCCCCCCTCTGCACACCTCTGCACCACTCCGCGATCCACGTCTGCTGTCAGCGCCACTATGGGCACCCTCAGGGAGACAGGCCACCCACCAGCAGCAGCAGGGTTTGAAGCTTCTAGGGGAGGGACGGGCAGAGCAGAAGGGGTGCGCTGCTGCCTCTGCTTCTGCAGTTGCTGTGCCTTTGAAAAGGCTTGAAACTGGACCCTCCTCTCAAGGGCTCGTATGGCCGCTGCTGCTGCGAAGCTGCCATGGCAATGGAGGAACGGATGGAAGGGAGGAAGTGGAAAGAGCATGGAAGGGAGGAAGTGGAAAGAGCATGGAAGGGAGGAAGTGGAAGAGCATGGAAGGGAGGAAGTAGAAACAGAATGGAAGGGAGGAAGTGGGAACAGAATGGAAGGGAGGAAGTGGGAACAGAACGGAAGGAAGGAGCGTAAGTACTCACGCTCACGAAGCACCCACGTCATGACTCACCCATCAATGCCCACCACTCACAACCACTCACCCATCCATCCCCGGCATCTGCAGGTCCATGAGAACCAAGTCAAAGCCATGCTGCAATGATGCACCCGTCCCTTGCTGCCCTCTCGCCTCCTCCTGCCCTCTTCCCTCCTGCTGCCCTCTAGCCTCTTCCTGCCCTCTTGCATCCTGCTGCCCTCTTCCCTCTTCCCCATGTGTTTCCTCCCCTTTCTCCTCCTCCTCGTGGGAGGCGATTGAGACGAGGCCAGCAGCGATCAATTCAACCGCCTCCTCCCCACGGGATGCTGTGGTGACTCGGGCGCCCCAGCGGGCGAGGGAGCGGCGGGCCACGAGGAGGTTGACGGGCGTGTCGTCCACCACGAGCACTCGCAGCCCTCCCACCCACGCCCGCGTCACCGCCTCATCCGCCACACCACCACCACGAGCACCACCAACACAGACACCAGCACAGGCACCTGCACGGGCGCCTGCACAGGCATCTGCACCCACACTCACACTCCCATTTTCACTCACACTCGCACGCACACCTGCACTCACACTCCCGCTAGCACCCGCACTCGCACCCGCACTCACACTCACACTCCATTCCTCGCTCTCGCTCTGGTATTCCTGAAAGGGTCTCTCTTCCTGTTGCTGCTGTTGGTTCCGGTTTTGTTGAGCCACCTGATCAATCTCCTGGGCGCGCTGCTGGAGCAGCCATCTGCTGCGGGCACCTGAAAAAACTCCTGACCTGCTCCTTTGCATCTCACCATGCCTTACGGCCTCCCCTTGCTGCTGTTGATTCTGATCCTGCTGCTGCTGCTGCTGCTGCTGTTCCTGAATGTTTGACTGCAGTTCCTCTAGGAAATGTTCTTGGAACGAGGGCATGGCTACAGGCACACAGAAAGCAACTATGCTGCCACACCCGGGCTGTGATTTAAAGGCGAGCTCTCCCTTCATTAGTGCCACCTGGGGGTGAGCGGGGAGCAGGAGGGCGATAGCAAGGCATGCTTATGTAATTGAGAGCTAGACCTGGGGTTGAGAAGCAGCAGCAGTGGCGGTGGCGGCGGCGGTAGCAGCAGTAGCAACACGGATTTGGCAAGACAGTGAGAATGAGGAATGAAGAGGTGTTTGGGGAGATTTGAGGTGCTTTTTCAGGCGCATCAGAAGTTTTTTCAGGCGCCAAGGTGATTTTTGAGGTGCCTAAAATAGCAACAACACGAAGTTGGCAAGACAGTGAGAATGAGGAATGAAGAGGTGTTTGAGGGACTCACTGTTTGCTGCACCAACACAAGCCCAAGGGCTGCTCCTGACCCACTCCTCCCTTCCCTTTGCTCCCGCGATTCCTAGAAGAGTAAAGAGAGAATGAATGGGATTGGCGGCATGAAAGTGTGAGAACGACACATGTTTGAGATGGGCGCGTGCAACGCAAGATGGGTGCGTTCTTAGTCAGCTCTGGAAATTCACAGACGAGCAGAGTGGGAAGAGATGGGACGTGTGAGAAGAGAATGTGAGAGTGTGGGGGGCTGTGTGGGATAAGGGTGTTTTGAGACGTCAGTATGTCTCAATATGTCAAGAGGGGAAAGAACGCGGCTCACGAGCAGGGAGAAGTAAGAAGGCCCTTCACTGCCGCTCGCTGTGTGGAGAGACGCTGGAAGGCCGCAGCCAGAGTCTTGACACGACAGCACCAGCATGCACCGCTCTCCACCCCTCCCTTTGCCACTCCCATACCCTATGCCATGCCCTGTCCCATGCTGTCGTTTCCCATGCCCCCTGCCTGGTTTTTTATTGTGTCTCCTGTCTTGATCTCCTTGCCGCCTTTCAAGCTCCCCCTCCCCCCGTGCACTGCCTGCTGCTGCTGCTGCTGCTGCTGCTGCTGATACTGCTGGTGCTGGTCGTGATGGTGGCGGTGCTGCTACTGCGACTGCTGGCGTCCCCTCCCCCTTCACTGCCTCACAGCCTGCTGCTCCCACTGCTTGCCTTCCCTTCACCTCCTCAAGCAGGCAGCACCATCTTGTTTTGAGACGTCTCAAACCCCCCTCGAGCAGGCGGTGCCATCTAGAGCAGAGGTCAATGCACGCCCCGTGGAGAGTTGACAGGGTGTGTGCTCCAGGGATGGCTGCGGACAGGCCTGGGGTGGATGGGGAAACGTGGAGAGAGGAAGTGTGTTTCCGGGGTGCGTTGTGGCAATAATCAAGGTGGGTGACAGGGGGCAGTTCTGGGATGGGAGCTTGTAGTGTGGTTGAGATAAGGCATGGAACAGTCGTGAGAAACGTGGAACAGGGAAAGGGGAGGGAGAGGAGTGGGGAGCGGTGTGCAGGAAGTGGGGGTGTTGGAGTGAAGAATCAAGAAGTGACATAAATAGGTGAAAAGCAAAGGATGAAGGGCCAAGGACAGGTGATCTGTACACTGAGTGCATAGGCATGAGACGAGCACGAACCAGTATATAGCTGTATGAACCAGTATGAACCAGGATGAATAAGCATAAGTAATCACTGCTACGTCCCAACTGCCAACGACGAAGCTTACCCTGGTAGTAAAGGGCGTCTTGCAAGCTTGTCCCTTGCGGCATGAGGGACACCCGCACTGTCACGTGGCCTTGTGTCGTGAACTTGACAGCGTTATCTGAAACACAACCGACGAACCATCCCGGAAAATAGTAGATTCGACCCATCCCGGAAAAGAGAAGATTCGACCCATCCCGGGTGAGAACCGGATAGTAATCCGGGTCATGTGTATAAAGAAGTGTTTTGAGACGTCCAAAACACGTCCTTATACACGTGAGAGTTGGATCATAATCCAGGTTACCGTGAACTTGGTGGCATTATCTGAAATGTAACAGAGGAGAGTGGTAACCAGATGTTGCAATGAGTCGTTACCACCGTCGCATACATCACCATCGCAAACATCACCATCCCACCACCAGTCACTCACATCTCAGCCTCAACCTCAGCCCACCCAGCCTAAGCCTCAATGTCCACCCAGCATCAGCCTCAGTCCACCCAGCATCAGCCTCAATGTCCACCCAGCATCAGCCTCAGTCCACCCAGCATCAGCCTCAGTCCACCCAGCATCAGCCTCAATGTCCACCCAGCATCAGCCTCAATGTCCACCCAGCATCAGCCTCAATGTCCACCCAGCATCAGAGTCTCAGCGACCGCTTCAACTGTGATCTCCTTGAGTTTTGAGACGTCTCAAAAGTTGCTCAAGTGCAACAGGTCTAGAATGACATGCGTCACCCCATCCACATGCGAGGGGTAGGTACCATCACACACATCACCCCATCCACATGCGAGGGGTAGGTACCATCACACACATCACCCCATCCACATGCGAGGGGTAGGTACCATCACACACATCACCCCATCCACATGCGAGGGGTAGGTACCATCACACACATCACCCCATCCACATGCGAGGGGTAGGTACCATCACACACATCACCCCATCCACATGCGAGGGGTAGGTACCATCACACACATCACCCCATCCACATGCGAGGGGTAGGTACCATCACACACATCACCCCATCCACATGCCGTGTGGGGTAGGTACCATCACACACATCACCCCATCCACTCACCATCACCCACACTCTCAACACAGCCTCCCCTTCACCTGCAGCAGCCCACCTGTGATCTCCTTGAGCGCGTTGCTGAGGAGCAAGGGGTCCATAATCACATGCGTGGGACACTTACCGTCACCAGCAATCCAACCACAGCCTCCGGTTCACCTGTGACAGCCCACCTGTGCCAGCCCACCTGTGCCAGCCCACCTGTGATCTCCTTGAGCGCGTTGCTGAGGAGCAAGGGATCCACAATCACATCCGTGGGGCAATCCGTGCTGAGCTCACTGCATGAGGAGGAAGGGCGGAGTCCAATGCGTGATTGTGAGAATGAGTTCGAGTCATATTGGCCTCGCTGTTTCGAGTCATATTGGCCGAAAGCATGCCACTGGATTGAGACACACAGCAAGTGCTACTTGAGAATCCTAAAAAAAAACATACGAAACATGGTGATGGAAGAAACCATGAGAAGGCGCTCCTGTGATGTTACCTTGCCCACCTCTAGCTTGATCTTATGCAGCGCACCCCTCTTCATTAGACCACATGCAGCGCACCCCCCTTCATTAGACCAGCGAGGCGACTCACATTCAATGCCTTTCGAGCGTACCTTTTAGACCAGCGACTCACATTCAATGCCTTTGGAGCGTGCCTTTTAGACCAGCGACTCACATTCAATGCCTTTGGAGCGTGCCTTTTAGACCAGCGACTCACATTCAATGCCTTTGGAGCGTGCCTTTTAGACCAGCGACTCACATTCAATGCATTTGGAGCGTGCCTTTTAGACCAGCGACTCACATTCAATGCCTTTGGAGCGTGCCTTTTAGACCAGCAACTCACATTCAATGCCTTTGGAGCGTGCCTTTTAGACCAGCGACTCACATTCAATGCCTTTGGAGCGTGCCTTTTAGACCAGCAACTCACATTCAATGCCTTTGGAGCGTGCCTTTTCAGCGTGCCAGTGCAACGTGGCACCAAGCCACTCCCTCAAATCAATCACCACCTCATCCACCACCGCCTTTCCCGCTTCCAGCTTCGCCAGGTCCAACACGCGGTTGACCAGATGCAGTGCATCTCTTGCTGATGCTCTGGCCATGAGGAGATCTGCAAGCTGAGAGGCGTTCAGACCCATGTCCGCTAGAGCGTCGAGCATGCCTGGTGGAAAGAGGGATGTGGGGACATGAGGGTGTACGCATAACATTGTGGAGTTGAAAGAAACACGCGGTTCACCAAATTCAACAGAGCATCCTTTGCCGATGCCCGGACCACAACAAGCAGATCTGCACGCTGAGAGGCGTTCAGACCCATTTCTGCTAGGGCGTTGAGCATGCGTGGTGGGAGAGAGGGCGGGATGTGGAAGAAGAACGGTGCATGTATGTATGGAGTGAAGTAAAGGTATGTTTTTGAAAATTCTCAATGTATGTTTTTTTAGAATTCTCAAAAGAACAAGGGTGCATGTATGTATGGAGTGAAGTAAAGGTATGTTTTTGAAATTCTCAATGTATGTTTTTTTAGAATTCTCAAAAGAACAAGGGTGCATGTATGTATGGAGTGGAGGTATGTTTTTGAGAATTCTCAATGTATGTTTTTTTAGAATTCTCAAAAGAACAAGGGTGCATGTATGTATGGAGTGAAGTAAAGGTATGTTTTTGAGAATCTCAATGTATGTTTTTTTAGAATTCTCAAGAACAAGGGTGCATGTATGTATGGATGAAGTGTATGTTTTTGAAAATCTCAATGTATGAGAATTCTCAAGAACAAGGGTGCATGTGTAGAGTGCATGTATGGTGGAAAGAGGGACCTTGTGGTTGACCTGTGACGCATCATTTGGGTTGAAAAAACACGCTTCACCAAACAACAGGCTCCTTGCTCGATGCCCGGAACAAACAACTCAGATCTGCACGCTGGGTTCCAGACCATTTCTGCTCGTTGAGACATGCACGTCCTGAGATACGATGTGGGAAGAAGAACGGTGCATGTATGTATGGAGTGAAGTAAAGGTATGTTTTTGAAAATTCTCAATGTATGTTTTTTTAGAATTCTCAAAAGAACAAGGGTGCATGTATGTATGGAGTGAAGTAAAGGTATGTTTTTGAAATTCTCAATGTATGTTTTTTTAGAATTCTCAAAAGAACAAGGGTGCATGTATGTATGGAGTGAAGTAAAGGTATGTTTTTGAGAATTCTCAATGTATGTTTTTTTAGAATTCTCAAAAGAACAAGGTGCATGTATGTATGGAGTGAAGTAAAGGTATGTTTTTGAGAATTCTCAATGTATGTTTTTTTAGAATTCTCAAAAGAACAAGGGTGCATGTATGTATGGAGTGAAGTAAAGGTATGTTTTTGAAAATTCTCAATGTATGTTTTTTAGAATTCTCAAAAGAACAAGGGTGCATGTATGTATGGAGTGAAGTAGAAGGACCTTGTATGGTTGACCTTGACCAGATGCAGTGCACCTTTGGTTTGAACTCTGTGCCTTCCGCACTCGGGCTCTTCTTCTTGCCCGCGTTAAAAAAAAACTCAGTAACGCATGAACACTGTACTTACCGGTAATCCCAACCATGGGTGTCCTGAGCTCGTGAGACATGCACGCCACAAACATGCTCTAAGATACCTCTACCCCTTCTGGGTGTCCTGAGACATGCACGTCCTGAGACATGCACGTCCTGAGACATGCACGTCATGAGACATGCACGTCCTGAGACATGCACGTCCTGAGACATGCACGTCCTGAGACATGCACGTCCTGAGACATGCACGTCCTGAGACATGCACGTCCTGCGACATGCACGTCATGAGGCACAAACATGCTCTTAGACGCCTCTGCGCCCTTTGGCTCTTCTTAATACACACCCAAAAAACAGACTTAGTAACACATGAATACTGTGCCTACCAGTGATCCCAATCATGGGCGTCCGCAGCTCGTGAGACATGCACGCGACAAACTTGCTCTTAGACGCCTCTGCACGCTCCGCCTGCCGTCTCAGCCTGTCTGCTTCCGCCACCTGCTGCTGGGTCTGGAAGAACTTGGAGCGCTGCAGGCAGGCCGCCAGCAGCACGAGCACCACGAGGAGGAGGGCGAAGAGGGCGATGAGGATGGGGATGCCCCACGATTGCCACGCGCTGGAAGGCTGGGTGTGCCTGGATGGGAAGGAGAGGGAAGGGGGAGGTCACAGGAAGGTGATGAGGGCGATGAGGGCGATGAGGATGGGGATGCCCCCCTGCTGCCAGGCCACGCACTGCACTGGAGGAGGGTGGAAATTCGTGGTCTCAGAAGAAATCCCACATATGTCTCGTGAAATCATTATTAATGCTTTCAAGAGTGTACCTGCACCAGCCCTTGAATGTGAGAGCTGCCCACACCAGATGGCTTTTGAGTCGAGAAAAAAAATGCCGGAGTGGGGTGCATGTGGAAAGCAAGAGAGCGAGCGAGAGAGCGAGTGCGAGAGCGCGAGGGGCGGGTTTCGAAACGAGAAGGCCAACTCACTCCCCCACGAGAAAGCTCACTCACCTACACCAGACTTCATATTTGCGCACGCCTGCTCCCATCTCCTCGAGAGGCACCACGGCTCGATGCTCCCAGGGGCGGGTTTCCGAGTCCGGGGAGGGTTGCATGTAGGGAAGCTTGTCGTCGGGGCGGAAGTAGGCGTGGGGGGGGACTGGTGAGACGATGGCGAAGAGAGAGGCTGGGTCGGTGATGTCGTATAGCTCAAAGGATTTCGATGGGTCTGGGTGGGAGGGGTGGGAGGGGTGGAGGGTTGGTTGGAAGGGAGAGGGAAGGGACGGGAAGTGGAAGATTGAGTAAATGCCTCAAACGGATGATGGCAAAGAGGAAGGCTGGGTCGGTGATGCTGTCTAGCTCAAAGGACTTGGATGAGTCTGGATGGGAGGGGTGAGGGGGAAGAGGACGGGAAGGCGGGAAGGGGAGGATTGCATGCATAGATGCCTCGGAAACGGACGTTGTTGGTGATGCCGTATAGCTCTCAAAGGACTTGGATGAGTCTGTGTGGAGAGGGGAAAAGGGGAGGGGGAGGGTTTGGGGAGAGAGGGGAGTGGGAGGGGGGAGAAGAAGGGGAGAGCGAGTGTGAGAGTAAGAAGAACACAGAGCAAATGACAACAAGACCATTACCTAGAAATAAAGAAAGAAAGAAGGAAGAAGAAGAGGGAAAATAAATAAATAAATAAATAAATAAATAAATGAAGAGGGGTAAAGAGAGGGCACACAAGGGGGCATCGGAAGGTCAAAAGCTGTGCAATCACCTGGTGCATACAACTCTTCTAGGACCTTGTGTGCAATGTAAGTCACGTCATGGAAGCACCAGTGACCCGTACACTGGTCCCACTGCTGATTGCCTCGAGTTGTTGGTGGGGACGCTGCGACGGAGAGGAAAGTCTGGGTGGGAGGGGTGGGAGGGGTGGAGGGTTGGTTGGAAGGGAGAGGGAAGGGGACGGGAAGTGGAAGATTGAGTAAATGCCTCAAACGGATGATGGCAAAGAGGAAGGCTGGGTCGGTGATGCTGTCTAGCTCAAGGACTTGGATGAGTCTGGATGGGAGGGGTGAGGGGGGAAGAGGACGGAAGGCGGGGAAGGGAGGATTGCATGCATAGATGCCTCGGAAACGGACGTTGTTGGGTGATGCCGTATAGCTCTCAAAGGCCTTGGAGAGTCTGTGTTGGAGAGGGAAAAGGGAGGGGGGGAGGGTTTGGGGAGAGAGGGGGAGTGGGGAGGGTGGGGAGAGGAGAAGAAGGGGAGAGCGAGTGTGAGAGTAAGAAGAACACAGAGCAAATGACAACAAGCCATTACCTAGAAGAAATAAAGAAAGAACTCCTTCCCCTCTCACCTCTCTGCAGCGTACACCACCGCACACACGAGTGCTCCCGTGTTCCCCAGGCGAACCTGGGCCGTGCGAATGAGATCTGTCACCCACATGCTGCAGTTCACACGCCATGGCTCCCAGGTATGCTTCTGTTGCAACCCAAAGCACTTCTCCTTCCCCTCTCACCTCTCTGCAGCGTACACCACCGCACACACGAGTGCTCCCGTGTTCCCCAGGCGAACCTGGGCCGTGCGAATGAGATCTGTCACCCACATGCTGCAGTTCACACGCCATGGCTCCCAGGTATGCTTCTGTTGCAACCCAAAGCACTTCTCCTTCCCCTCTCACCTCTCTGCAGCGTACACCACCGCACACACGAGTGCTCCCGTGTTCCCCAGGCGAACCTGGGCCGTGCGAATGAGATCTGTCACCCACATGCTGCAGTTCACACGCCATGGCTCCCAGGTATGCTTCTGTTGCAACCCAAAGCACTTCTCCTTCCCCTCTCACCTCTCTGCAGCGTACACCACCGCACACACGAGTGCTCCCGTGTTCCCCAGGCGAACCTGGGCCGTGCGAATGAGATCTGTCACCCACATGCTGCAGTTCACACGCCATGGCTCCCAGGTATGCTTCTGTTGCAACCCAAAGCACTTCTCCTTCCCCTCTCACCTCTCTGCAGCGTACACCACCGCACACACGAGTGCTCCCGTGTTCCCCAGGCGAACCTGGGCCGTGCGAATGAGATCTGTCACCCACATGCTGCAGTTCACACGCCATGGCTCCCAGGTATGCTTCTGTTGCAACCCAAAGCACTTCTCCTTCCCCTCTCACCTCTCTGCAGCGTACACCACCGCACACACGAGTGCTCCCGTGTTCCCCAGGCGAACCTGGGCCGTGCGAATGAGATCTGTCACCCACATGCTGCAGTTCACACGCCATGGCTCCCAGGTATGCTTCTGTTGCAACCCAAAGCACTTCTCCTTCCCCTCTCACCTCTCTGCAGCGTACACCACCGCACACACGAGTGCTCCCGTGTTCCCCAGGCGAACCTGGGCCGTGCGAATGAGATCTGTCACCCACATGCTGCAGTTCACACGCCATGGCTCCCAGGTATGCTTCTGTTGCAACCCAAAGCACTTCTCCTTCCCCTCTCACACCTCTCTGCAGCACACCACCGCACACACCACGCACACACGAGTGCTCCCGTGTTCCCCAGGCGAACCTGGGCCGTGCGAATGAGATCTGTCACCCACATGCTGCAGTTCACACGCCATGGCTCCCAGGTATGCTTCTGTTGCAACCCAAAGCACTTCTCCTTCCCCTCTCACCTCTCTGCAGCGTACACCACCGCACACACGAGTGCTCCCGTGTTCCCCAGGCGAACCTGGGCCGTGCGAATGAGATCTGTCACCCACATGCTGCAGTTCACACGCCATGGCTCCCAGGTATGCTTCTGTTGCAACCCAAAGCACTTCTCCTTCCCCTCTCACCTCTCTGCAGCGTACACCACCGCACACACGAGTGCTCCCGTGTTCCCCAGGCGAACCTGGGCCGTGCGAATGAGATCTGTCACCCACATGCTGCAGTTCACACGCCATGGCTCCCAGGTATGCTTCTGTTGCAACCCAAAGCACTTCTCCTTCCCCTCTCACCTCTCTGCAGCGTACACCACCGCACACACGAGTGCTCCCGTGTTCCCCAGGCGAACCTGGGCCGTGCGAATGAGATCTGTCACCCACATGCTGCAGTTCACACGCCATGGCTCCCAGGTATGCTTCTGTTGCAACCCAAAGCACTTCTCCTTCCCCTCTCACCTCTCTGCAGCGTACACCACCGCACACACGAGTGCTCCCGTGTTCCCCAGGCGAACCTGGGCCGTGCGAATGAGATCTGTCACCCACATGCTGCAGTTCACACGCCATGGCTCCCAGGTATGCTTCTGTTGCAACCCAAAGCACTTCTCCTTCCCCTCTCACCTCTCTGCAGCGTACACCACCGCACACACGAGTGCTCCCGTGTTCCCCAGGCGAACCTGGGCCGTGCGAATGAGATCTGTCACCCACATGCTGCAGTTCACACGCCATGGCTCCCAGGTATGCTTCTGTTGCAACCCAAAGCACTTCTCCTTCCCCTCTCACCTCTCTGCAGCGTACACCACCGCACACACGAGTGCTCCCGTGTTCCCCAGGCGAACCTGGGCCGTGCGAATGAGATCTGTCACCCACATGCTGCAGTTCACACGCCATGGCTCCCAGGTATGCTTCTGTTGCAACCCAAAGCACTTCTCCTTCCCCTCTCACCTCTCTGCAGCGTACACCACCGCACACACGAGTGCTCCCGTGTTCCCCAGGCGAACCTGGGCCGTGCGAATGAGATCTGTCACCCACATGCTGCAGTTCACACGCCATGGCTCCCAGGTATGCTTCTGTTGCAACCCAAAGCACTTCTCCTTCCCCTCTCACCTCTCTGCAGCGTACACCACCGCACACACGAGTGCTCCCGTGTTCCCCAGGCGAACCTGGGCCGTGCGAATGAGATCTGTCACCCACATGCTGCAGTTCACACGCCATGGCTCCCAGGTATGCTTCTGTTGCAACCCAAAGCACTTCTCCTTCCCCTCTCACCTCTCTGCAGCGTACACCACCGCACACACGAGTGCTCCCGTGTTCCCCAGGCGAACCTGGGCCGTGCGAATGAGATCTGTCACCCACATGCTGCAGTTCACACGCCATGGCTCCCAGGTATGCTTCTGTTGCAACCCAAAGCACTTCTCCTTCCCCTCTCACCTCTCTGCAGCGTACACCACCGCACACACGAGTGCTCCCGTGTTCCCCAGGCGAACCTGGGCCGTGCGAATGAGATCTGTCACCCACATGCTGCAGTTCACACGCCATGGCTCCCAGGTATGCTTCTGTTGCAACCCAAAGCACTTCTCCTTCCCCTCTCACCTCTCTGCAGCGTACACCACCGCACACACGAGTGCTCCCGTGTTCCCCAGGCGAACCTGGGCCGTGCGAATGAGATCTGTCACCCACATGCTGCAGTTCACACGCCATGGCTCCCAGGTATGCTTCTGTTGCAACCCAAAGCACTTCTCCTTCCCCTCTCACCTCTCTGCAGCGTACACCACCGCACACACGAGTGCTCCCGTGTTCCCCAGGCGAACCTGGGCCGTGCGAATGAGATCTGTCACCCACATGCTGCAGTTCACACGCCATGGCTCCCAGGTATGCTTCTGTTGCAACCCAAAGCACTTCTCCTTCCCCTCTCACCTCTCTGCAGCGTACACCACCGCACACACGAGTGCTCCCGTGTTCCCCAGGCGAACCTGGGCCGTGCGAATGAGATCTGTCACCCACATGCTGCAGTTCACACGCCATGGCTCCCAGGTATGCTTCTGTTGCAACCCAAAGCACTTCTCCTTCCCCTCTCACCTCTCTGCAGCGTACACCACCGCACACACGAGTGCTCCCGTGTTCCCCAGGCGAACCTGGGCCGTGCGAATGAGATCTGTCACCCACATGCTGCAGTTCACACGCCATGGCTCCCAGGTATGCTTCTGTTGCAACCCAAAGCACTTCTCCTTCCCCTCTCACCTCTCTGCAGCGTACACCACCGCACACACGAGTGCTCCCGTGTTCCCCAGGCGAACCTGGGCCGTGCGAATGAGATCTGTCACCCACATGCTGCAGTTCACACGCCATGGCTCCCAGGTATGCTTCTGTTGCAACCCAAAGCACTTCTCCTTCCCCTCTCACCTCTCTGCAGCGTACACCACCGCACACACGAGTGCTCCCGTGTTCCCCAGGCGAACCTGGGCCGTGCGAATGAGATCTGTCACCCACATGCTGCAGTTCACACGCCATGGCTCCCAGGTATGCTTCTGTTGCAACCCAAAGCACTTCTCCTTCCCCTCTCACCTCTCTGCAGCGTACACCACCGCACACACGAGTGCTCCCGTGTTCCCCAGGCGAACCTGGGCCGTGCGAATGAGATCTGTCACCCACATGCTGCAGTTCACACGCCATGGCTCCCAGGTATGCTTCTGTTGCAACCCAAAGCACTTCTCCTTCCCCTCTCACCTCTCTGCAGCGTACACCACCGCACACACGAGTGCTCCCGTGTTCCCCAGGCGAACCTGGGCCGTGCGAATGAGATCTGTCACCCACATGCTGCAGTTCACACGCCATGGCTCCCAGGTATGCTTCTGTTGCAACCCAAAGCACTTCTCCTTCCCCTCTCACCTCTCTGCAGCGTACACCACCGCACACACGAGTGCTCCCGTGTTCCCCAGGCGAACCTGGGCCGTGCGAATGAGATCTGTCACCCACATGCTGCAGTTCACACGCCATGGCTCCCAGGTATGCTTCTGTTGCAACCCAAAGCACTTCTCCTTCCCCTCTCACCTCTCTGCAGCGTACACCACCGCACACACGAGTGCTCCCGTGTTCCCCAGGCGAACCTGGGCCGTGCGAATGAGATCTGTCACCCACATGCTGCAGTTCACACGCCATGGCTCCCAGGTATGCTTCTGTTGCAACCCAAAGCACTTCTCCTTCCCCTCTCACCTCTCTGCAGCGTACACCACCGCACACACGAGTGCTCCCGTGTTCCCCAGGCGAACCTGGGCCGTGCGAATGAGATCTGTCACCCACATGCTGCAGTTCACACGCCATGGCTCCCAGGTATGCTTCTGTTGCAACCCAAAGCACTTCTCCTTCCCCTCTCACCTCTCTGCAGCGTACACCACCGCACACACGAGTGCTCCCGTGTTCCCCAGGCGAACCTGGGCCGTGCGAATGAGATCTGTCACCCACATGCTGCAGTTCACACGCCATGGCTCCCAGGTATGCTTCTGTTGCAACCCAAAGCACTTCTCCTTCCCCTCTCACCTCTCTGCAGCGTACACCACCGCACACACGAGTGCTCCCGTGTTCCCCAGGCGAACCTGGGCCGTGCGAATGAGATCTGTCACCCACATGCTGCAGTTCACACGCCATGGCTCCCAGGTATGCTTCTGTTGCAACCCAAAGCACTTCTCCTTCCCCTCTCACCTCTCTGCAGCGTACACCACCGCACACACGAGTGCTCCCGTGTTCCCCAGGCGAACCTGGGCCGTGCGAATGAGATCTGTCACCCACATGCTGCAGTTCACACGCCATGGCTCCCAGGTATGCTTCTGTTGCAACCCAAAGCACTTCTCCTTCCCCTCTCACCTCTCTGCAGCGTACACCACCGCACACACGAGTGCTCCCGTGTTCCCCAGGCGAACCTGGGCCGTGCGAATGAGATCTGTCACCCACATGCTGCAGTTCACACGCCATGGCTCCCAGGTATGCTTCTGTTGCAACCCAAAGCACTTCTCCTTCCCCTCTCACCTCTCTGCAGCGTACACCACCGCACACACGAGTGCTCCCGTGTTCCCCAGGCGAACCTGGGCCGTGCGAATGAGATCTGTCACCCACATGCTGCAGTTCACACGCCATGGCTCCCAGGTATGCTTCTGTTGCAACCCAAAGCACTTCTCCTTCCCCTCTCACCTCTCTGCAGCGTACACCACCGCACACACGAGTGCTCCCGTGTTCCCCAGGCGAACCTGGGCCGTGCGAATGAGATCTGTCACCCACATGCTGCAGTTCACACGCCATGGCTCCCAGGTATGCTTCTGTTGCAACCCAAAGCACTTCTCCTTCCCCTCTCACCTCTCTGCAGCGTACACCACCGCACACACGAGTGCTCCCGTGTTCCCCAGGCGAACCTGGGCCGTGCGAATGAGATCTGTCACCCACATGCTGCAGTTCACACGCCATGGCTCCCAGGTATGCTTCTGTTGCAACCCAAAGCACTTCTCCTTCCCCTCTCACCTCTCTGCAGCGTACACCACCGCACACACGAGTGCTCCCGTGTTCCCCAGGCGAACCTGGGCCGTGCGAATGAGATCTGTCACCCACATGCTGCAGTTCACACGCCATGGCTCCCAGGTATGCTTCTGTTGCAACCCAAAGCACTTCTCCTTCCCCTCTCACCTCTCTGCAGCGTACACCACCGCACACACGAGTGCTCCCGTGTTCCCCAGGCGAACCTGGGCCGTGCGAATGAGATCTGTCACCCACATGCTGCAGTTCACACGCCATGGCTCCCAGGTATGCTTCTGTTGCAACCCAAAGCACTTCTCCTTCCCCTCTCACCTCTCTGCAGCGTACACCACCGCACACACGAGTGCTCCCGTGTTCCCCAGGCGAACCTGGGCCGTGCGAATGAGATCTGTCACCCACATGCTGCAGTTCACACGCCATGGCTCCCAGGTATGCTTCTGTTGCAACCCAAAGCACTTCTCCTTCCCCTCTCACCTCTCTGCAGCGTACACCACCGCACACACGAGTGCTCCCGTGTTCCCCAGGCGAACCTGGGCCGTGCGAATGAGATCTGTCACCCACATGCTGCAGTTCACACGCCATGGCTCCCAGGTATGCTTCTGTTGCAACCCAAAGCACTTCTCCTTCCCCTCTCACCTCTCTGCAGCGTACACCACCGCACACACGAGTGCTCCCGTGTTCCCCAGGCGAACCTGGGCCGTGCGAATGAGATCTGTCACCCACATGCTGCAGTTCACACGCCATGGCTCCCAGGTATGCTTCTGTTGCAACCCAAAGCACTTCTCCTTCCCCTCTCACCTCTCTGCAGCGTACACCACCGCACACACGAGTGCTCCCGTGTTCCCCAGGCGAACCTGGGCCGTGCGAATGAGATCTGTCACCCACATGCTGCAGTTCACACGCCATGGCTCCCAGGTATGCTTCTGTTGCAACCCAAAGCACTTCTCCTTCCCCTCTCACCTCTCTGCAGCGTACACCACCGCACACACGAGTGCTCCCGTGTTCCCCAGGCGAACCTGGGCCGTGCGAATGAGATCTGTCACCCACATGCTGCAGTTCACACGCCATGGCTCCCAGGTATGCTTCTGTTGCAACCCAAAGCACTTCTCCTTCCCCTCTCACCTCTCTGCAGCGTACACCACCGCACACACGAGTGCTCCCGTGTTCCCCAGGCGAACCTGGGCCGTGCGAATGAGATCTGTCACCCACATGCTGCAGTTCACACGCCATGGCTCCCAGGTATGCTTCTGTTGCAACCCAAAGCACTTCTCCTTCCCCTCTCACCTCTCTGCAGCGTACACCACCGCACACACGAGTGCTCCCGTGTTCCCCAGGCGAACCTGGGCCGTGCGAATGAGATCTGTCACCCACATGCTGCAGTTCACACGCCATGGCTCCCAGGTATGCTTCTGTTGCAACCCAAAGCACTTCTCCTTCCCCTCTCACCTCTCTGCAGCGTACACCACCGCACACACGAGTGCTCCCGTGTTCCCCAGGCGAACCTGGGCCGTGCGAATGAGATCTGTCACCCACATGCTGCAGTTCACACGCCATGGCTCCCAGGTATGCTTCTGTTGCAACCCAAAGCACTTCTCCTTCCCCTCTCACCTCTCTGCAGCGTACACCACCGCACACACGAGTGCTCCCGTGTTCCCCAGGCGAACCTGGGCCGTGCGAATGAGATCTGTCACCCACATGCTGCAGTTCACACGCCATGGCTCCCAGGTATGCTTCTGTTGCAACCCAAAGCACTTCTCCTTCCCCTCTCACCTCTCTGCAGCGTACACCACCGCACACACGAGTGCTCCCGTGTTCCCCAGGCGAACCTGGGCCGTGCGAATGAGATCTGTCACCCACATGCTGCAGTTCACACGCCATGGCTCCCAGGTATGCTTCTGTTGCAACCCAAAGCACTTCTCCTTCCCCTCTCACCTCTCTGCAGCGTACACCACCGCACACACGAGTGCTCCCGTGTTCCCCAGGCGAACCTGGGCCGTGCGAATGAGATCTGTCACCCACATGCTGCAGTTCACACGCCATGGCTCCCAGGTATGCTTCTGTTGCAACCCAAAGCACTTCTCCTTCCCCTCTCACCTCTCTGCAGCGTACACCACCGCACACACGAGTGCTCCCGTGTTCCCCAGGCGAACCTGGGCCGTGCGAATGAGATCTGTCACCCACATGCTGCAGTTCACACGCCATGGCTCCCAGGTATGCTTCTGTTGCAACCCAAAGCACTTCTCCTTCCCCTCTCACCTCTCTGCAGCGTACACCACCGCACACACGAGTGCTCCCGTGTTCCCCAGGCGAACCTGGGCCGTGCGAATGAGATCTGTCACCCACATGCTGCAGTTCACACGCCATGGCTCCCAGGTATGCTTCTGTTGCAACCCAAAGCACTTCTCCTTCCCCTCTCACCTCTCTGCAGCGTACACCACCGCACACACGAGTGCTCCCGTGTTCCCCAGGCGAACCTGGGCCGTGCGAATGAGATCTGTCACCCACATGCTGCAGTTCACACGCCATGGCTCCCAGGTATGCTTCTGTTGCAACCCAAAGCACTTCTCCTTCCCCTCTCACCTCTCTGCAGCGTACACCACCGCACACACGAGTGCTCCCGTGTTCCCCAGGCGAACCTGGGCCGTGCGAATGAGATCTGTCACCCACATGCTGCAGTTCACACGCCATGGCTCCCAGGTATGCTTCTGTTGCAACCCAAAGCACTTCTCCTTCCCCTCTCACCTCTCTGCAGCGTACACCACCGCACACACGAGTGCTCCCGTGTTCCCCAGGCGAACCTGGGCCGTGCGAATGAGATCTGTCACCCACATGCTGCAGTTCACACGCCATGGCTCCCAGGTATGCTTCTGTTGCAACCCAAAGCACTTCTCCTTCCCCTCTCACCTCTCTGCAGCGTACACCACCGCACACACGAGTGCTCCCGTGTTCCCCAGGCGAACCTGGGCCGTGCGAATGAGATCTGTCACCCACATGCTGCAGTTCACACGCCATGGCTCCCAGGTATGCTTCTGTTGCAACCCAAAGCACTTCTCCTTCCCCTCTCACCTCTCTGCAGCGTACACCACCGCACACACGAGTGCTCCCGTGTTCCCCAGGCGAACCTGGGCCGTGCGAATGAGATCTGTCACCCACATGCTGCAGTTCACACGCCATGGCTCCCAGGTATGCTTCTGTTGCAACCCAAAGCACTTCTCCTTCCCCTCTCACCTCTCTGCAGCGTACACCACCGCACACACGAGTGCTCCCGTGTTCCCCAGGCGAACCTGGGCCGTGCGAATGAGATCTGTCACCCACATGCTGCAGTTCACACGCCATGGCTCCCAGGTATGCTTCTGTTGCAACCCAAAGCACTTCTCCTTCCCCTCTCACCTCTCTGCAGCGTACACCACCGCACACACGAGTGCTCCCGTGTTCCCCAGGCGAACCTGGGCCGTGCGAATGAGATCTGTCACCCACATGCTGCAGTTCACACGCCATGGCTCCCAGGTATGCTTCTGTTGCAACCCAAAGCACTTCTCCTTCCCCTCTCACCTCTCTGCAGCGTACACCACCGCACACACGAGTGCTCCCGTGTTCCCCAGGCGAACCTGGGCCGTGCGAATGAGATCTGTCACCCACATGCTGCAGTTCACACGCCATGGCTCCCAGGTATGCTTCTGTTGCAACCCAAAGCACTTCTCCTTCCCCTCTCACCTCTCTGCAGCGTACACCACCGCACACACGAGTGCTCCCGTGTTCCCCAGGCGAACCTGGGCCGTGCGAATGAGATCTGTCACCCACATGCTGCAGTTCACACGCCATGGCTCCCAGGTATGCTTCTGTTGCAACCCAAAGCACTTCTCCTTCCCCTCTCACCTCTCTGCAGCGTACACCACCGCACACACGAGTGCTCCCGTGTTCCCCAGGCGAACCTGGGCCGTGCGAATGAGATCTGTCACCCACATGCTGCAGTTCACACGCCATGGCTCCCAGGTATGCTTCTGTTGCAACCCAAAGCACTTCTCCTTCCCCTCTCACCTCTCTGCAGCGTACACCACCGCACACACGAGTGCTCCCGTGTTCCCCAGGCGAACCTGGGCCGTGCGAATGAGATCTGTCACCCACATGCTGCAGTTCACACGCCATGGCTCCCAGGTATGCTTCTGTTGCAACCCAAAGCACTTCTCCTTCCCCTCTCACCTCTCTGCAGCGTACACCACCGCACACACGAGTGCTCCCGTGTTCCCCAGGCGAACCTGGGCCGTGCGAATGAGATCTGTCACCCACATGCTGCAGTTCACACGCCATGGCTCCCAGGTATGCTTCTGTTGCAACCCAAAGCACTTCTCCTTCCCCTCTCACCTCTCTGCAGCGTACACCACCGCACACACGAGTGCTCCCGTGTTCCCCAGGCGAACCTGGGCCGTGCGAATGAGATCTGTCACCCACATGCTGCAGTTCACACGCCATGGCTCCCAGGTATGCTTCTGTTGCAACCCAAAGCACTTCTCCTTCCCCTCTCACCTCTCTGCAGCGTACACCACCGCACACACGAGTGCTCCCGTGTTCCCCAGGCGAACCTGGGCCGTGCGAATGAGATCTGTCACCCACATGCTGCAGTTCACACGCCATGGCTCCCAGGTATGCTTCTGTTGCAACCCAAAGCACTTCTCCTTCCCCTCTCACCTCTCTGCAGCGTACACCACCGCACACACGAGTGCTCCCGTGTTCCCCAGGCGAACCTGGGCCGTGCGAATGAGATCTGTCACCCACATGCTGCAGTTCACACGCCATGGCTCCCAGGTATGCTTCTGTTGCAACCCAAAGCACTTCTCCTTCCCCTCTCACCTCTCTGCAGCGTACACCACCGCACACACGAGTGCTCCCGTGTTCCCCAGGCGAACCTGGGCCGTGCGAATGAGATCTGTCACCCACATGCTGCAGTTCACACGCCATGGCTCCCAGGTATGCTTCTGTTGCAACCCAAAGCACTTCTCCTTCCCCTCTCACCTCTCTGCAGCGTACACCACCGCACACACGAGTGCTCCCGTGTTCCCCAGGCGAACCTGGGCCGTGCGAATGAGATCTGTCACCCACATGCTGCAGTTCACACGCCATGGCTCCCAGGTATGCTTCTGTTGCAACCCAAAGCACTTCTCCTTCCCCTCTCACCTCTCTGCAGCGTACACCACCGCACACACGAGTGCTCCCGTGTTCCCCAGGCGAACCTGGGCCGTGCGAATGAGATCTGTCACCCACATGCTGCAGTTCACACGCCATGGCTCCCAGGTATGCTTCTGTTGCAACCCAAAGCACTTCTCCTTCCCCTCTCACCTCTCTGCAGCGTACACCACCGCACACACGAGTGCTCCCGTGTTCCCCAGGCGAACCTGGGCCGTGCGAATGAGATCTGTCACCCACATGCTGCAGTTCACACGCCATGGCTCCCAGGTATGCTTCTGTTGCAACCCAAAGCACTTCTCCTTCCCCTCTCACCTCTCTGCAGCGTACACCACCGCACACACGAGTGCTCCCGTGTTCCCCAGGCGAACCTGGGCCGTGCGAATGAGATCTGTCACCCACATGCTGCAGTTCACACGCCATGGCTCCCAGGTATGCTTCTGTTGCAACCCAAAGCACTTCTCCTTCCCCTCTCACCTCTCTGCAGCGTACACCACCGCACACACGAGTGCTCCCGTGTTCCCCAGGCGAACCTGGGCCGTGCGAATGAGATCTGTCACCCACATGCTGCAGTTCACACGCCATGGCTCCCAGGTATGCTTCTGTTGCAACCCAAAGCACTTCTCCTTCCCCTCTCACCTCTCTGCAGCGTACACCACCGCACACACGAGTGCTCCCGTGTTCCCCAGGCGAACCTGGGCCGTGCGAATGAGATCTGTCACCCACATGCTGCAGTTCACACGCCATGGCTCCCAGGTATGCTTCTGTTGCAACCCAAAGCACTTCTCCTTCCCCTCTCACCTCTCTGCAGCGTACACCACCGCACACACGAGTGCTCCCGTGTTCCCCAGGCGAACCTGGGCCGTGCGAATGAGATCTGTCACCCACATGCTGCAGTTCACACGCCATGGCTCCCAGGTATGCTTCTGTTGCAACCCAAAGCACTTCTCCTTCCCCTCTCACCTCTCTGCAGCGTACACCACCGCACACACGAGTGCTCCCGTGTTCCCCAGGCGAACCTGGGCCGTGCGAATGAGATCTGTCACCCACATGCTGCAGTTCACACGCCATGGCTCCCAGGTATGCTTCTGTTGCAACCCAAAGCACTTCTCCTTCCCCTCTCACCTCTCTGCAGCGTACACCACCGCACACACGAGTGCTCCCGTGTTCCCCAGGCGAACCTGGGCCGTGCGAATGAGATCTGTCACCCACATGCTGCAGTTCACACGCCATGGCTCCCAGGTATGCTTCTGTTGCAACCCAAAGCACTTCTCCTTCCCCTCTCACCTCTCTGCAGCGTACACCACCGCACACACGAGTGCTCCCGTGTTCCCCAGGCGAACCTGGGCCGTGCGAATGAGATCTGTCACCCACATGCTGCAGTTCACACGCCATGGCTCCCAGGTATGCTTCTGTTGCAACCCAAAGCACTTCTCCTTCCCCTCTCACCTCTCTGCAGCGTACACCACCGCACACACGAGTGCTCCCGTGTTCCCCAGGCGAACCTGGGCCGTGCGAATGAGATCTGTCACCCACATGCTGCAGTTCACACGCCATGGCTCCCAGGTATGCTTCTGTTGCAACCCAAAGCACTTCTCCTTCCCCTCTCACCTCTCTGCAGCGTACACCACCGCACACACGAGTGCTCCCGTGTTCCCCAGGCGAACCTGGGCCGTGCGAATGAGATCTGTCACCCACATGCTGCAGTTCACACGCCATGGCTCCCAGGTATGCTTCTGTTGCAACCCAAAGCACTTCTCCTTCCCCTCTCACCTCTCTGCAGCGTACACCACCGCACACACGAGTGCTCCCGTGTTCCCCAGGCGAACCTGGGCCGTGCGAATGAGATCTGTCACCCACATGCTGCAGTTCACACGCCATGGCTCCCAGGTATGCTTCTGTTGCAACCCAAAGCACTTCTCCTTCCCCTCTCACCTCTCTGCAGCGTACACCACCGCACACACGAGTGCTCCCGTGTTCCCCAGGCGAACCTGGGCCGTGCGAATGAGATCTGTCACCCACATGCTGCAGTTCACACGCCATGGCTCCCAGGTATGCTTCTGTTGCAACCCAAAGCACTTCTCCTTCCCCTCTCACCTCTCTGCAGCGTACACCACCGCACACACGAGTGCTCCCGTGTTCCCCAGGCGAACCTGGGCCGTGCGAATGAGATCTGTCACCCACATGCTGCAGTTCACACGCCATGGCTCCCAGGTATGCTTCTGTTGCAACCCAAAGCACTTCTCCTTCCCCTCTCACCTCTCTGCAGCGTACACCACCGCACACACGAGTGCTCCCGTGTTCCCCAGGCGAACCTGGGCCGTGCGAATGAGATCTGTCACCCACATGCTGCAGTTCACACGCCATGGCTCCCAGGTATGCTTCTGTTGCAACCCAAAGCACTTCTCCTTCCCCTCTCACCTCTCTGCAGCGTACACCACCGCACACACGAGTGCTCCCGTGTTCCCCAGGCGAACCTGGGCCGTGCGAATGAGATCTGTCACCCACATGCTGCAGTTCACACGCCATGGCTCCCAGGTATGCTTCTGTTGCAACCCAAAGCACTTCTCCTTCCCCTCTCACCTCTCTGCAGCGTACACCACCGCACACACGAGTGCTCCCGTGTTCCCCAGGCGAACCTGGGCCGTGCGAATGAGATCTGTCACCCACATGCTGCAGTTCACACGCCATGGCTCCCAGGTATGCTTCTGTTGCAACCCAAAGCACTTCTCCTTCCCCTCTCACCTCTCTGCAGCGTACACCACCGCACACACGAGTGCTCCCGTGTTCCCCAGGCGAACCTGGGCCGTGCGAATGAGATCTGTCACCCACATGCTGCAGTTCACACGCCATGGCTCCCAGGTATGCTTCTGTTGCAACCCAAAGCACTTCTCCTTCCCCTCTCACCTCTCTGCAGCGTACACCACCGCACACACGAGTGCTCCCGTGTTCCCCAGGCGAACCTGGGCCGTGCGAATGAGATCTGTCACCCACATGCTGCAGTTCACACGCCATGGCTCCCAGGTATGCTTCTGTTGCAACCCAAAGCACTTCTCCTTCCCCTCTCACCTCTCTGCAGCGTACACCACCGCACACACGAGTGCTCCCGTGTTCCCCAGGCGAACCTGGGCCGTGCGAATGAGATCTGTCACCCACATGCTGCAGTTCACACGCCATGGCTCCCAGGTATGCTTCTGTTGCAACCCAAAGCACTTCTCCTTCCCCTCTCACCTCTCTGCAGCGTACACCACCGCACACACGAGTGCTCCCGTGTTCCCCAGGCGAACCTGGGCCGTGCGAATGAGATCTGTCACCCACATGCTGCAGTTCACACGCCATGGCTCCCAGGTATGCTTCTGTTGCAACCCAAAGCACTTCTCCTTCCCCTCTCACCTCTCTGCAGCGTACACCACCGCACACACGAGTGCTCCCGTGTTCCCCAGGCGAACCTGGGCCGTGCGAATGAGATCTGTCACCCACATGCTGCAGTTCACACGCCATGGCTCCCAGGTATGCTTCTGTTGCAACCCAAAGCACTTCTCCTTCCCCTCTCACCTCTCTGCAGCGTACACCACCGCACACACGAGTGCTCCCGTGTTCCCCAGGCGAACCTGGGCCGTGCGAATGAGATCTGTCACCCACATGCTGCAGTTCACACGCCATGGCTCCCAGGTATGCTTCTGTTGCAACCCAAAGCACTTCTCCTTCCCCTCTCACCTCTCTGCAGCGTACACCACCGCACACACGAGTGCTCCCGTGTTCCCCAGGCGAACCTGGGCCGTGCGAATGAGATCTGTCACCCACATGCTGCAGTTCACACGCCATGGCTCCCAGGTATGCTTCTGTTGCAACCCAAAGCACTTCTCCTTCCCCTCTCACCTCTCTGCAGCGTACACCACCGCACACACGAGTGCTCCCGTGTTCCCCAGGCGAACCTGGGCCGTGCGAATGAGATCTGTCACCCACATGCTGCAGTTCACACGCCATGGCTCCCAGGTATGCTTCTGTTGCAACCCAAAGCACTTCTCCTTCCCCTCTCACCTCTCTGCAGCGTACACCACCGCACACACGAGTGCTCCCGTGTTCCCCAGGCGAACCTGGGCCGTGCGAATGAGATCTGTCACCCACATGCTGCAGTTCACACGCCATGGCTCCCAGGTATGCTTCTGTTGCAACCCAAAGCACTTCTCCTTCCCCTCTCACCTCTCTGCAGCGTACACCACCGCACACACGAGTGCTCCCGTGTTCCCCAGGCGAACCTGGGCCGTGCGAATGAGATCTGTCACCCACATGCTGCAGTTCACACGCCATGGCTCCCAGGTATGCTTCTGTTGCAACCCAAAGCACTTCTCCTTCCCCTCTCACCTCTCTGCAGCGTACACCACCGCACACACGAGTGCTCCCGTGTTCCCCAGGCGAACCTGGGCCGTGCGAATGAGATCTGTCACCCACATGCTGCAGTTCACACGCCATGGCTCCCAGGTATGCTTCTGTTGCAACCCAAAGCACTTCTCCTTCCCCTCTCACCTCTCTGCAGCGTACACCACCGCACACACGAGTGCTCCCGTGTTCCCCAGGCGAACCTGGGCCGTGCGAATGAGATCTGTCACCCACATGCTGCAGTTCACACGCCATGGCTCCCAGGTATGCTTCTGTTGCAACCCAAAGCACTTCTCCTTCCCCTCTCACCTCTCTGCAGCGTACACCACCGCACACACGAGTGCTCCCGTGTTCCCCAGGCGAACCTGGGCCGTGCGAATGAGATCTGTCACCCACATGCTGCAGTTCACACGCCATGGCTCCCAGGTATGCTTCTGTTGCAACCCAAAGCACTTCTCCTTCCCCTCTCACCTCTCTGCAGCGTACACCACCGCACACACGAGTGCTCCCGTGTTCCCCAGGCGAACCTGGGCCGTGCGAATGAGATCTGTCACCCACATGCTGCAGTTCACACGCCATGGCTCCCAGGTATGCTTCTGTTGCAACCCAAAGCACTTCTCCTTCCCCTCTCACCTCTCTGCAGCGTACACCACCGCACACACGAGTGCTCCCGTGTTCCCCAGGCGAACCTGGGCCGTGCGAATGAGATCTGTCACCCACATGCTGCAGTTCACACGCCATGGCTCCCAGGTATGCTTCTGTTGCAACCCAAAGCACTTCTCCTTCCCCTCTCACCTCTCTGCAGCGTACACCACCGCACACACGAGTGCTCCCGTGTTCCCCAGGCGAACCTGGGCCGTGCGAATGAGATCTGTCACCCACATGCTGCAGTTCACACGCCATGGCTCCCAGGTATGCTTCTGTTGCAACCCAAAGCACTTCTCCTTCCCCTCTCACCTCTCTGCAGCGTACACCACCGCACACACGAGTGCTCCCGTGTTCCCCAGGCGAACCTGGGCCGTGCGAATGAGATCTGTCACCCACATGCTGCAGTTCACACGCCATGGCTCCCAGGTATGCTTCTGTTGCAACCCAAAGCACTTCTCCTTCCCCTCTCACCTCTCTGCAGCGTACACCACCGCACACACGAGTGCTCCCGTGTTCCCCAGGCGAACCTGGGCCGTGCGAATGAGATCTGTCACCCACATGCTGCAGTTCACACGCCATGGCTCCCAGGTATGCTTCTGTTGCAACCCAAAGCACTTCTCCTTCCCCTCTCACCTCTCTGCAGCGTACACCACCGCACACACGAGTGCTCCCGTGTTCCCCAGGCGAACCTGGGCCGTGCGAATGAGATCTGTCACCCACATGCTGCAGTTCACACGCCATGGCTCCCAGGTATGCTTCTGTTGCAACCCAAAGCACTTCTCCTTCCCCTCTCACCTCTCTGCAGCGTACACCACCGCACACACGAGTGCTCCCGTGTTCCCCAGGCGAACCTGGGCCGTGCGAATGAGATCTGTCACCCACATGCTGCAGTTCACACGCCATGGCTCCCAGGTATGCTTCTGTTGCAACCCAAAGCACTTCTCCTTCCCCTCTCACCTCTCTGCAGCGTACACCACCGCACACACGAGTGCTCCCGTGTTCCCCAGGCGAACCTGGGCCGTGCGAATGAGATCTGTCACCCACATGCTGCAGTTCACACGCCATGGCTCCCAGGTATGCTTCTGTTGCAACCCAAAGCACTTCTCCTTCCCCTCTCACCTCTCTGCAGCGTACACCACCGCACACACGAGTGCTCCCGTGTTCCCCAGGCGAACCTGGGCCGTGCGAATGAGATCTGTCACCCACATGCTGCAGTTCACACGCCATGGCTCCCAGGTATGCTTCTGTTGCAACCCAAAGCACTTCTCCTTCCCCTCTCACCTCTCTGCAGCGTACACCACCGCACACACGAGTGCTCCCGTGTTCCCCAGGCGAACCTGGGCCGTGCGAATGAGATCTGTCACCCACATGCTGCAGTTCACACGCCATGGCTCCCAGGTATGCTTCTGTTGCAACCCAAAGCACTTCTCCTTCCCCTCTCACCTCTCTGCAGCGTACACCACCGCACACACGAGTGCTCCCGTGTTCCCCAGGCGAACCTGGGCCGTGCGAATGAGATCTGTCACCCACATGCTGCAGTTCACACGCCATGGCTCCCAGGTATGCTTCTGTTGCAACCCAAAGCACTTCTCCTTCCCCTCTCACCTCTCTGCAGCGTACACCACCGCACACACGAGTGCTCCCGTGTTCCCCAGGCGAACCTGGGCCGTGCGAATGAGATCTGTCACCCACATGCTGCAGTTCACACGCCATGGCTCCCAGGTATGCTTCTGTTGCAACCCAAAGCACTTCTCCTTCCCCTCTCACCTCTCTGCAGCGTACACCACCGCACACACGAGTGCTCCCGTGTTCCCCAGGCGAACCTGGGCCGTGCGAATGAGATCTGTCACCCACATGCTGCAGTTCACACGCCATGGCTCCCAGGTATGCTTCTGTTGCAACCCAAAGCACTTCTCCTTCCCCTCTCACCTCTCTGCAGCGTACACCACCGCACACACGAGTGCTCCCGTGTTCCCCAGGCGAACCTGGGCCGTGCGAATGAGATCTGTCACCCACATGCTGCAGTTCACACGCCATGGCTCCCAGGTATGCTTCTGTTGCAACCCAAAGCACTTCTCCTTCCCCTCTCACCTCTCTGCAGCGTACACCACCGCACACACGAGTGCTCCCGTGTTCCCCAGGCGAACCTGGGCCGTGCGAATGAGATCTGTCACCCACATGCTGCAGTTCACACGCCATGGCTCCCAGGTATGCTTCTGTTGCAACCCAAAGCACTTCTCCTTCCCCTCTCACCTCTCTGCAGCGTACACCACCGCACACACGAGTGCTCCCGTGTTCCCCAGGCGAACCTGGGCCGTGCGAATGAGATCTGTCACCCACATGCTGCAGTTCACACGCCATGGCTCCCAGGTATGCTTCTGTTGCAACCCAAAGCACTTCTCCTTCCCCTCTCACCTCTCTGCAGCGTACACCACCGCACACACGAGTGCTCCCGTGTTCCCCAGGCGAACCTGGGCCGTGCGAATGAGATCTGTCACCCACATGCTGCAGTTCACACGCCATGGCTCCCAGGTATGCTTCTGTTGCAACCCAAAGCACTTCTCCTTCCCCTCTCACCTCTCTGCAGCGTACACCACCGCACACACGAGTGCTCCCGTGTTCCCCAGGCGAACCTGGGCCGTGCGAATGAGATCTGTCACCCACATGCTGCAGTTCACACGCCATGGCTCCCAGGTATGCTTCTGTTGCAACCCAAAGCACTTCTCCTTCCCCTCTCACCTCTCTGCAGCGTACACCACCGCACACACGAGTGCTCCCGTGTTCCCCAGGCGAACCTGGGCCGTGCGAATGAGATCTGTCACCCACATGCTGCAGTTCACACGCCATGGCTCCCAGGTATGCTTCTGTTGCAACCCAAAGCACTTCTCCTTCCCCTCTCACCTCTCTGCAGCGTACACCACCGCACACACGAGTGCTCCCGTGTTCCCCAGGCGAACCTGGGCCGTGCGAATGAGATCTGTCACCCACATGCTGCAGTTCACACGCCATGGCTCCCAGGTATGCTTCTGTTGCAACCCAAAGCACTTCTCCTTCCCCTCTCACCTCTCTGCAGCGTACACCACCGCACACACGAGTGCTCCCGTGTTCCCCAGGCGAACCTGGGCCGTGCGAATGAGATCTGTCACCCACATGCTGCAGTTCACACGCCATGGCTCCCAGGTATGCTTCTGTTGCAACCCAAAGCACTTCTCCTTCCCCTCTCACCTCTCTGCAGCGTACACCACCGCACACACGAGTGCTCCCGTGTTCCCCAGGCGAACCTGGGCCGTGCGAATGAGATCTGTCACCCACATGCTGCAGTTCACACGCCATGGCTCCCAGGTATGCTTCTGTTGCAACCCAAAGCACTTCTCCTTCCCCTCTCACCTCTCTGCAGCGTACACCACCGCACACACGAGTGCTCCCGTGTTCCCCAGGCGAACCTGGGCCGTGCGAATGAGATCTGTCACCCACATGCTGCAGTTCACACGCCATGGCTCCCAGGTATGCTTCTGTTGCAACCCAAAGCACTTCTCCTTCCCCTCTCACCTCTCTGCAGCGTACACCACCGCACACACGAGTGCTCCCGTGTTCCCCAGGCGAACCTGGGCCGTGCGAATGAGATCTGTCACCCACATGCTGCAGTTCACACGCCATGGCTCCCAGGTATGCTTCTGTTGCAACCCAAAGCACTTCTCCTTCCCCTCTCACCTCTCTGCAGCGTACACCACCGCACACACGAGTGCTCCCGTGTTCCCCAGGCGAACCTGGGCCGTGCGAATGAGATCTGTCACCCACATGCTGCAGTTCACACGCCATGGCTCCCAGGTATGCTTCTGTTGCAACCCAAAGCACTTCTCCTTCCCCTCTCACCTCTCTGCAGCGTACACCACCGCACACACGAGTGCTCCCGTGTTCCCCAGGCGAACCTGGGCCGTGCGAATGAGATCTGTCACCCACATGCTGCAGTTCACACGCCATGGCTCCCAGGTATGCTTCTGTTGCAACCCAAAGCACTTCTCCTTCCCCTCTCACCTCTCTGCAGCGTACACCACCGCACACACGAGTGCTCCCGTGTTCCCCAGGCGAACCTGGGCCGTGCGAATGAGATCTGTCACCCACATGCTGCAGTTCACACGCCATGGCTCCCAGGTATGCTTCTGTTGCAACCCAAAGCACTTCTCCTTCCCCTCTCACCTCTCTGCAGCGTACACCACCGCACACACGAGTGCTCCCGTGTTCCCCAGGCGAACCTGGGCCGTGCGAATGAGATCTGTCACCCACATGCTGCAGTTCACACGCCATGGCTCCCAGGTATGCTTCTGTTGCAACCCAAAGCACTTCTCCTTCCCCTCTCACCTCTCTGCAGCGTACACCACCGCACACACGAGTGCTCCCGTGTTCCCCAGGCGAACCTGGGCCGTGCGAATGAGATCTGTCACCCACATGCTGCAGTTCACACGCCATGGCTCCCAGGTATGCTTCTGTTGCAACCCAAAGCACTTCTCCTTCCCCTCTCACCTCTCTGCAGCGTACACCACCGCACACACGAGTGCTCCCGTGTTCCCCAGGCGAACCTGGGCCGTGCGAATGAGATCTGTCACCCACATGCTGCAGTTCACACGCCATGGCTCCCAGGTATGCTTCTGTTGCAACCCAAAGCACTTCTCCTTCCCCTCTCACCTCTCTGCAGCGTACACCACCGCACACACGAGTGCTCCCGTGTTCCCCAGGCGAACCTGGGCCGTGCGAATGAGATCTGTCACCCACATGCTGCAGTTCACACGCCATGGCTCCCAGGTATGCTTCTGTTGCAACCCAAAGCACTTCTCCTTCCCCTCTCACCTCTCTGCAGCGTACACCACCGCACACACGAGTGCTCCCGTGTTCCCCAGGCGAACCTGGGCCGTGCGAATGAGATCTGTCACCCACATGCTGCAGTTCACACGCCATGGCTCCCAGGTATGCTTCTGTTGCAACCCAAAGCACTTCTCCTTCCCCTCTCACCTCTCTGCAGCGTACACCACCGCACACACGAGTGCTCCCGTGTTCCCCAGGCGAACCTGGGCCGTGCGAATGAGATCTGTCACCCACATGCTGCAGTTCACACGCCATGGCTCCCAGGTATGCTTCTGTTGCAACCCAAAGCACTTCTCCTTCCCCTCTCACCTCTCTGCAGCGTACACCACCGCACACACGAGTGCTCCCGTGTTCCCCAGGCGAACCTGGGCCGTGCGAATGAGATCTGTCACCCACATGCTGCAGTTCACACGCCATGGCTCCCAGGTATGCTTCTGTTGCAACCCAAAGCACTTCTCCTTCCCCTCTCACCTCTCTGCAGCGTACACCACCGCACACACGAGTGCTCCCGTGTTCCCCAGGCGAACCTGGGCCGTGCGAATGAGATCTGTCACCCACATGCTGCAGTTCACACGCCATGGCTCCCAGGTATGCTTCTGTTGCAACCCAAAGCACTTCTCCTTCCCCTCTCACCTCTCTGCAGCGTACACCACCGCACACACGAGTGCTCCCGTGTTCCCCAGGCGAACCTGGGCCGTGCGAATGAGATCTGTCACCCACATGCTGCAGTTCACACGCCATGGCTCCCAGGTATGCTTCTGTTGCAACCCAAAGCACTTCTCCTTCCCCTCTCACCTCTCTGCAGCGTACACCACCGCACACACGAGTGCTCCCGTGTTCCCCAGGCGAACCTGGGCCGTGCGAATGAGATCTGTCACCCACATGCTGCAGTTCACACGCCATGGCTCCCAGGTATGCTTCTGTTGCAACCCAAAGCACTTCTCCTTCCCCTCTCACCTCTCTGCAGCGTACACCACCGCACACACGAGTGCTCCCGTGTTCCCCAGGCGAACCTGGGCCGTGCGAATGAGATCTGTCACCCACATGCTGCAGTTCACACGCCATGGCTCCCAGGTATGCTTCTGTTGCAACCCAAAGCACTTCTCCTTCCCCTCTCACCTCTCTGCAGCGTACACCACCGCACACACGAGTGCTCCCGTGTTCCCCAGGCGAACCTGGGCCGTGCGAATGAGATCTGTCACCCACATGCTGCAGTTCACACGCCATGGCTCCCAGGTATGCTTCTGTTGCAACCCAAAGCACTTCTCCTTCCCCTCTCACCTCTCTGCAGCGTACACCACCGCACACACGAGTGCTCCCGTGTTCCCCAGGCGAACCTGGGCCGTGCGAATGAGATCTGTCACCCACATGCTGCAGTTCACACGCCATGGCTCCCAGGTATGCTTCTGTTGCAACCCAAAGCACTTCTCCTTCCCCTCTCACCTCTCTGCAGCGTACACCACCGCACACACGAGTGCTCCCGTGTTCCCCAGGCGAACCTGGGCCGTGCGAATGAGATCTGTCACCCACATGCTGCAGTTCACACGCCATGGCTCCCAGGTATGCTTCTGTTGCAACCCAAAGCACTTCTCCTTCCCCTCTCACCTCTCTGCAGCGTACACCACCGCACACACGAGTGCTCCCGTGTTCCCCAGGCGAACCTGGGCCGTGCGAATGAGATCTGTCACCCACATGCTGCAGTTCACACGCCATGGCTCCCAGGTATGCTTCTGTTGCAACCCAAAGCACTTCTCCTTCCCCTCTCACCTCTCTGCAGCGTACACCACCGCACACACGAGTGCTCCCGTGTTCCCCAGGCGAACCTGGGCCGTGCGAATGAGATCTGTCACCCACATGCTGCAGTTCACACGCCATGGCTCCCAGGTATGCTTCTGTTGCAACCCAAAGCACTTCTCCTTCCCCTCTCACCTCTCTGCAGCGTACACCACCGCACACACGAGTGCTCCCGTGTTCCCCAGGCGAACCTGGGCCGTGCGAATGAGATCTGTCACCCACATGCTGCAGTTCACACGCCATGGCTCCCAGGTATGCTTCTGTTGCAACCCAAAGCACTTCTCCTTCCCCTCTCACCTCTCTGCAGCGTACACCACCGCACACACGAGTGCTCCCGTGTTCCCCAGGCGAACCTGGGCCGTGCGAATGAGATCTGTCACCCACATGCTGCAGTTCACACGCCATGGCTCCCAGGTATGCTTCTGTTGCAACCCAAAGCACTTCTCCTTCCCCTCTCACCTCTCTGCAGCGTACACCACCGCACACACGAGTGCTCCCGTGTTCCCCAGGCGAACCTGGGCCGTGCGAATGAGATCTGTCACCCACATGCTGCAGTTCACACGCCATGGCTCCCAGGTATGCTTCTGTTGCAACCCAAAGCACTTCTCCTTCCCCTCTCACCTCTCTGCAGCGTACACCACCGCACACACGAGTGCTCCCGTGTTCCCCAGGCGAACCTGGGCCGTGCGAATGAGATCTGTCACCCACATGCTGCAGTTCACACGCCATGGCTCCCAGGTATGCTTCTGTTGCAACCCAAAGCACTTCTCCTTCCCCTCTCACCTCTCTGCAGCGTACACCACCGCACACACGAGTGCTCCCGTGTTCCCCAGGCGAACCTGGGCCGTGCGAATGAGATCTGTCACCCACATGCTGCAGTTCACACGCCATGGCTCCCAGGTATGCTTCTGTTGCAACCCAAAGCACTTCTCCTTCCCCTCTCACCTCTCTGCAGCGTACACCACCGCACACACGAGTGCTCCCGTGTTCCCCAGGCGAACCTGGGCCGTGCGAATGAGATCTGTCACCCACATGCTGCAGTTCACACGCCATGGCTCCCAGGTATGCTTCTGTTGCAACCCAAAGCACTTCTCCTTCCCCTCTCACCTCTCTGCAGCGTACACCACCGCACACACGAGTGCTCCCGTGTTCCCCAGGCGAACCTGGGCCGTGCGAATGAGATCTGTCACCCACATGCTGCAGTTCACACGCCATGGCTCCCAGGTATGCTTCTGTTGCAACCCAAAGCACTTCTCCTTCCCCTCTCACCTCTCTGCAGCGTACACCACCGCACACACGAGTGCTCCCGTGTTCCCCAGGCGAACCTGGGCCGTGCGAATGAGATCTGTCACCCACATGCTGCAGTTCACACGCCATGGCTCCCAGGTATGCTTCTGTTGCAACCCAAAGCACTTCTCCTTCCCCTCTCACCTCTCTGCAGCGTACACCACCGCACACACGAGTGCTCCCGTGTTCCCCAGGCGAACCTGGGCCGTGCGAATGAGATCTGTCACCCACATGCTGCAGTTCACACGCCATGGCTCCCAGGTATGCTTCTGTTGCAACCCAAAGCACTTCTCCTTCCCCTCTCACCTCTCTGCAGCGTACACCACCGCACACACGAGTGCTCCCGTGTTCCCCAGGCGAACCTGGGCCGTGCGAATGAGATCTGTCACCCACATGCTGCAGTTCACACGCCATGGCTCCCAGGTATGCTTCTGTTGCAACCCAAAGCACTTCTCCTTCCCCTCTCACCTCTCTGCAGCGTACACCACCGCACACACGAGTGCTCCCGTGTTCCCCAGGCGAACCTGGGCCGTGCGAATGAGATCTGTCACCCACATGCTGCAGTTCACACGCCATGGCTCCCAGGTATGCTTCTGTTGCAACCCAAAGCACTTCTCCTTCCCCTCTCACCTCTCTGCAGCGTACACCACCGCACACACGAGTGCTCCCGTGTTCCCCAGGCGAACCTGGGCCGTGCGAATGAGATCTGTCACCCACATGCTGCAGTTCACACGCCATGGCTCCCAGGTATGCTTCTGTTGCAACCCAAAGCACTTCTCCTTCCCCTCTCACCTCTCTGCAGCGTACACCACCGCACACACGAGTGCTCCCGTGTTCCCCAGGCGAACCTGGGCCGTGCGAATGAGATCTGTCACCCACATGCTGCAGTTCACACGCCATGGCTCCCAGGTATGCTTCTGTTGCAACCCAAAGCACTTCTCCTTCCCCTCTCACCTCTCTGCAGCGTACACCACCGCACACACGAGTGCTCCCGTGTTCCCCAGGCGAACCTGGGCCGTGCGAATGAGATCTGTCACCCACATGCTGCAGTTCACACGCCATGGCTCCCAGGTATGCTTCTGTTGCAACCCAAAGCACTTCTCCTTCCCCTCTCACCTCTCTGCAGCGTACACCACCGCACACACGAGTGCTCCCGTGTTCCCCAGGCGAACCTGGGCCGTGCGAATGAGATCTGTCACCCACATGCTGCAGTTCACACGCCATGGCTCCCAGGTATGCTTCTGTTGCAACCCAAAGCACTTCTCCTTCCCCTCTCACCTCTCTGCAGCGTACACCACCGCACACACGAGTGCTCCCGTGTTCCCCAGGCGAACCTGGGCCGTGCGAATGAGATCTGTCACCCACATGCTGCAGTTCACACGCCATGGCTCCCAGGTATGCTTCTGTTGCAACCCAAAGCACTTCTCCTTCCCCTCTCACCTCTCTGCAGCGTACACCACCGCACACACGAGTGCTCCCGTGTTCCCCAGGCGAACCTGGGCCGTGCGAATGAGATCTGTCACCCACATGCTGCAGTTCACACGCCATGGCTCCCAGGTATGCTTCTGTTGCAACCCAAAGCACTTCTCCTTCCCCTCTCACCTCTCTGCAGCGTACACCACCGCACACACGAGTGCTCCCGTGTTCCCCAGGCGAACCTGGGCCGTGCGAATGAGATCTGTCACCCACATGCTGCAGTTCACACGCCATGGCTCCCAGGTATGCTTCTGTTGCAACCCAAAGCACTTCTCCTTCCCCTCTCACCTCTCTGCAGCGTACACCACCGCACACACGAGTGCTCCCGTGTTCCCCAGGCGAACCTGGGCCGTGCGAATGAGATCTGTCACCCACATGCTGCAGTTCACACGCCATGGCTCCCAGGTATGCTTCTGTTGCAACCCAAAGCACTTCTCCTTCCCCTCTCACCTCTCTGCAGCGTACACCACCGCACACACGAGTGCTCCCGTGTTCCCCAGGCGAACCTGGGCCGTGCGAATGAGATCTGTCACCCACATGCTGCAGTTCACACGCCATGGCTCCCAGGTATGCTTCTGTTGCAACCCAAAGCACTTCTCCTTCCCCTCTCACCTCTCTGCAGCGTACACCACCGCACACACGAGTGCTCCCGTGTTCCCCAGGCGAACCTGGGCCGTGCGAATGAGATCTGTCACCCACATGCTGCAGTTCACACGCCATGGCTCCCAGGTATGCTTCTGTTGCAACCCAAAGCACTTCTCCTTCCCCTCTCACCTCTCTGCAGCGTACACCACCGCACACACGAGTGCTCCCGTGTTCCCCAGGCGAACCTGGGCCGTGCGAATGAGATCTGTCACCCACATGCTGCAGTTCACACGCCATGGCTCCCAGGTATGCTTCTGTTGCAACCCAAAGCACTTCTCCTTCCCCTCTCACCTCTCTGCAGCGTACACCACCGCACACACGAGTGCTCCCGTGTTCCCCAGGCGAACCTGGGCCGTGCGAATGAGATCTGTCACCCACATGCTGCAGTTCACACGCCATGGCTCCCAGGTATGCTTCTGTTGCAACCCAAAGCACTTCTCCTTCCCCTCTCACCTCTCTGCAGCGTACACCACCGCACACACGAGTGCTCCCGTGTTCCCCAGGCGAACCTGGGCCGTGCGAATGAGATCTGTCACCCACATGCTGCAGTTCACACGCCATGGCTCCCAGGTATGCTTCTGTTGCAACCCAAAGCACTTCTCCTTCCCCTCTCACCTCTCTGCAGCGTACACCACCGCACACACGAGTGCTCCCGTGTTCCCCAGGCGAACCTGGGCCGTGCGAATGAGATCTGTCACCCACATGCTGCAGTTCACACGCCATGGCTCCCAGGTATGCTTCTGTTGCAACCCAAAGCACTTCTCCTTCCCCTCTCACCTCTCTGCAGCGTACACCACCGCACACACGAGTGCTCCCGTGTTCCCCAGGCGAACCTGGGCCGTGCGAATGAGATCTGTCACCCACATGCTGCAGTTCACACGCCATGGCTCCCAGGTATGCTTCTGTTGCAACCCAAAGCACTTCTCCTTCCCCTCTCACCTCTCTGCAGCGTACACCACCGCACACACGAGTGCTCCCGTGTTCCCCAGGCGAACCTGGGCCGTGCGAATGAGATCTGTCACCCACATGCTGCAGTTCACACGCCATGGCTCCCAGGTATGCTTCTGTTGCAACCCAAAGCACTTCTCCTTCCCCTCTCACCTCTCTGCAGCGTACACCACCGCACACACGAGTGCTCCCGTGTTCCCCAGGCGAACCTGGGCCGTGCGAATGAGATCTGTCACCCACATGCTGCAGTTCACACGCCATGGCTCCCAGGTATGCTTCTGTTGCAACCCAAAGCACTTCTCCTTCCCCTCTCACCTCTCTGCAGCGTACACCACCGCACACACGAGTGCTCCCGTGTTCCCCAGGCGAACCTGGGCCGTGCGAATGAGATCTGTCACCCACATGCTGCAGTTCACACGCCATGGCTCCCAGGTATGCTTCTGTTGCAACCCAAAGCACTTCTCCTTCCCCTCTCACCTCTCTGCAGCGTACACCACCGCACACACGAGTGCTCCCGTGTTCCCCAGGCGAACCTGGGCCGTGCGAATGAGATCTGTCACCCACATGCTGCAGTTCACACGCCATGGCTCCCAGGTATGCTTCTGTTGCAACCCAAAGCACTTCTCCTTCCCCTCTCACCTCTCTGCAGCGTACACCACCGCACACACGAGTGCTCCCGTGTTCCCCAGGCGAACCTGGGCCGTGCGAATGAGATCTGTCACCCACATGCTGCAGTTCACACGCCATGGCTCCCAGGTATGCTTCTGTTGCAACCCAAAGCACTTCTCCTTCCCCTCTCACCTCTCTGCAGCGTACACCACCGCACACACGAGTGCTCCCGTGTTCCCCAGGCGAACCTGGGCCGTGCGAATGAGATCTGTCACCCACATGCTGCAGTTCACACGCCATGGCTCCCAGGTATGCTTCTGTTGCAACCCAAAGCACTTCTCCTTCCCCTCTCACCTCTCTGCAGCGTACACCACCGCACACACGAGTGCTCCCGTGTTCCCCAGGCGAACCTGGGCCGTGCGAATGAGATCTGTCACCCACATGCTGCAGTTCACACGCCATGGCTCCCAGGTATGCTTCTGTTGCAACCCAAAGCACTTCTCCTTCCCCTCTCACCTCTCTGCAGCGTACACCACCGCACACACGAGTGCTCCCGTGTTCCCCAGGCGAACCTGGGCCGTGCGAATGAGATCTGTCACCCACATGCTGCAGTTCACACGCCATGGCTCCCAGGTATGCTTCTGTTGCAACCCAAAGCACTTCTCCTTCCCCTCTCACCTCTCTGCAGCGTACACCACCGCACACACGAGTGCTCCCGTGTTCCCCAGGCGAACCTGGGCCGTGCGAATGAGATCTGTCACCCACATGCTGCAGTTCACACGCCATGGCTCCCAGGTATGCTTCTGTTGCAACCCAAAGCACTTCTCCTTCCCCTCTCACCTCTCTGCAGCGTACACCACCGCACACACGAGTGCTCCCGTGTTCCCCAGGCGAACCTGGGCCGTGCGAATGAGATCTGTCACCCACATGCTGCAGTTCACACGCCATGGCTCCCAGGTATGCTTCTGTTGCAACCCAAAGCACTTCTCCTTCCCCTCTCACCTCTCTGCAGCGTACACCACCGCACACACGAGTGCTCCCGTGTTCCCCAGGCGAACCTGGGCCGTGCGAATGAGATCTGTCACCCACATGCTGCAGTTCACACGCCATGGCTCCCAGGTATGCTTCTGTTGCAACCCAAAGCACTTCTCCTTCCCCTCTCACCTCTCTGCAGCGTACACCACCGCACACACGAGTGCTCCCGTGTTCCCCAGGCGAACCTGGGCCGTGCGAATGAGATCTGTCACCCACATGCTGCAGTTCACACGCCATGGCTCCCAGGTATGCTTCTGTTGCAACCCAAAGCACTTCTCCTTCCCCTCTCACCTCTCTGCAGCGTACACCACCGCACACACGAGTGCTCCCGTGTTCCCCAGGCGAACCTGGGCCGTGCGAATGAGATCTGTCACCCACATGCTGCAGTTCACACGCCATGGCTCCCAGGTATGCTTCTGTTGCAACCCAAAGCACTTCTCCTTCCCCTCTCACCTCTCTGCAGCGTACACCACCGCACACACGAGTGCTCCCGTGTTCCCCAGGCGAACCTGGGCCGTGCGAATGAGATCTGTCACCCACATGCTGCAGTTCACACGCCATGGCTCCCAGGTATGCTTCTGTTGCAACCCAAAGCACTTCTCCTTCCCCTCTCACCTCTCTGCAGCGTACACCACCGCACACACGAGTGCTCCCGTGTTCCCCAGGCGAACCTGGGCCGTGCGAATGAGATCTGTCACCCACATGCTGCAGTTCACACGCCATGGCTCCCAGGTATGCTTCTGTTGCAACCCAAAGCACTTCTCCTTCCCCTCTCACCTCTCTGCAGCGTACACCACCGCACACACGAGTGCTCCCGTGTTCCCCAGGCGAACCTGGGCCGTGCGAATGAGATCTGTCACCCACATGCTGCAGTTCACACGCCATGGCTCCCAGGTATGCTTCTGTTGCAACCCAAAGCACTTCTCCTTCCCCTCTCACCTCTCTGCAGCGTACACCACCGCACACACGAGTGCTCCCGTGTTCCCCAGGCGAACCTGGGCCGTGCGAATGAGATCTGTCACCCACATGCTGCAGTTCACACGCCATGGCTCCCAGGTATGCTTCTGTTGCAACCCAAAGCACTTCTCCTTCCCCTCTCACCTCTCTGCAGCGTACACCACCGCACACACGAGTGCTCCCGTGTTCCCCAGGCGAACCTGGGCCGTGCGAATGAGATCTGTCACCCACATGCTGCAGTTCACACGCCATGGCTCCCAGGTATGCTTCTGTTGCAACCCAAAGCACTTCTCCTTCCCCTCTCACCTCTCTGCAGCGTACACCACCGCACACACGAGTGCTCCCGTGTTCCCCAGGCGAACCTGGGCCGTGCGAATGAGATCTGTCACCCACATGCTGCAGTTCACACGCCATGGCTCCCAGGTATGCTTCTGTTGCAACCCAAAGCACTTCTCCTTCCCCTCTCACCTCTCTGCAGCGTACACCACCGCACACACGAGTGCTCCCGTGTTCCCCAGGCGAACCTGGGCCGTGCGAATGAGATCTGTCACCCACATGCTGCAGTTCACACGCCATGGCTCCCAGGTATGCTTCTGTTGCAACCCAAAGCACTTCTCCTTCCCCTCTCACCTCTCTGCAGCGTACACCACCGCACACACGAGTGCTCCCGTGTTCCCCAGGCGAACCTGGGCCGTGCGAATGAGATCTGTCACCCACATGCTGCAGTTCACACGCCATGGCTCCCAGGTATGCTTCTGTTGCAACCCAAAGCACTTCTCCTTCCCCTCTCACCTCTCTGCAGCGTACACCACCGCACACACGAGTGCTCCCGTGTTCCCCAGGCGAACCTGGGCCGTGCGAATGAGATCTGTCACCCACATGCTGCAGTTCACACGCCATGGCTCCCAGGTATGCTTCTGTTGCAACCCAAAGCACTTCTCCTTCCCCTCTCACCTCTCTGCAGCGTACACCACCGCACACACGAGTGCTCCCGTGTTCCCCAGGCGAACCTGGGCCGTGCGAATGAGATCTGTCACCCACATGCTGCAGTTCACACGCCATGGCTCCCAGGTATGCTTCTGTTGCAACCCAAAGCACTTCTCCTTCCCCTCTCACCTCTCTGCAGCGTACACCACCGCACACACGAGTGCTCCCGTGTTCCCCAGGCGAACCTGGGCCGTGCGAATGAGATCTGTCACCCACATGCTGCAGTTCACACGCCATGGCTCCCAGGTATGCTTCTGTTGCAACCCAAAGCACTTCTCCTTCCCCTCTCACCTCTCTGCAGCGTACACCACCGCACACACGAGTGCTCCCGTGTTCCCCAGGCGAACCTGGGCCGTGCGAATGAGATCTGTCACCCACATGCTGCAGTTCACACGCCATGGCTCCCAGGTATGCTTCTGTTGCAACCCAAAGCACTTCTCCTTCCCCTCTCACCTCTCTGCAGCGTACACCACCGCACACACGAGTGCTCCCGTGTTCCCCAGGCGAACCTGGGCCGTGCGAATGAGATCTGTCACCCACATGCTGCAGTTCACACGCCATGGCTCCCAGGTATGCTTCTGTTGCAACCCAAAGCACTTCTCCTTCCCCTCTCACCTCTCTGCAGCGTACACCACCGCACACACGAGTGCTCCCGTGTTCCCCAGGCGAACCTGGGCCGTGCGAATGAGATCTGTCACCCACATGCTGCAGTTCACACGCCATGGCTCCCAGGTATGCTTCTGTTGCAACCCAAAGCACTTCTCCTTCCCCTCTCACCTCTCTGCAGCGTACACCACCGCACACACGAGTGCTCCCGTGTTCCCCAGGCGAACCTGGGCCGTGCGAATGAGATCTGTCACCCACATGCTGCAGTTCACACGCCATGGCTCCCAGGTATGCTTCTGTTGCAACCCAAAGCACTTCTCCTTCCCCTCTCACCTCTCTGCAGCGTACACCACCGCACACACGAGTGCTCCCGTGTTCCCCAGGCGAACCTGGGCCGTGCGAATGAGATCTGTCACCCACATGCTGCAGTTCACACGCCATGGCTCCCAGGTATGCTTCTGTTGCAACCCAAAGCACTTCTCCTTCCCCTCTCACCTCTCTGCAGCGTACACCACCGCACACACGAGTGCTCCCGTGTTCCCCAGGCGAACCTGGGCCGTGCGAATGAGATCTGTCACCCACATGCTGCAGTTCACACGCCATGGCTCCCAGGTATGCTTCTGTTGCAACCCAAAGCACTTCTCCTTCCCCTCTCACCTCTCTGCAGCGTACACCACCGCACACACGAGTGCTCCCGTGTTCCCCAGGCGAACCTGGGCCGTGCGAATGAGATCTGTCACCCACATGCTGCAGTTCACACGCCATGGCTCCCAGGTATGCTTCTGTTGCAACCCAAAGCACTTCTCCTTCCCCTCTCACCTCTCTGCAGCGTACACCACCGCACACACGAGTGCTCCCGTGTTCCCCAGGCGAACCTGGGCCGTGCGAATGAGATCTGTCACCCACATGCTGCAGTTCACACGCCATGGCTCCCAGGTATGCTTCTGTTGCAACCCAAAGCACTTCTCCTTCCCCTCTCACCTCTCTGCAGCGTACACCACCGCACACACGAGTGCTCCCGTGTTCCCCAGGCGAACCTGGGCCGTGCGAATGAGATCTGTCACCCACATGCTGCAGTTCACACGCCATGGCTCCCAGGTATGCTTCTGTTGCAACCCAAAGCACTTCTCCTTCCCCTCTCACCTCTCTGCAGCGTACACCACCGCACACACGAGTGCTCCCGTGTTCCCCAGGCGAACCTGGGCCGTGCGAATGAGATCTGTCACCCACATGCTGCAGTTCACACGCCATGGCTCCCAGGTATGCTTCTGTTGCAACCCAAAGCACTTCTCCTTCCCCTCTCACCTCTCTGCAGCGTACACCACCGCACACACGAGTGCTCCCGTGTTCCCCAGGCGAACCTGGGCCGTGCGAATGAGATCTGTCACCCACATGCTGCAGTTCACACGCCATGGCTCCCAGGTATGCTTCTGTTGCAACCCAAAGCACTTCTCCTTCCCCTCTCACCTCTCTGCAGCGTACACCACCGCACACACGAGTGCTCCCGTGTTCCCCAGGCGAACCTGGGCCGTGCGAATGAGATCTGTCACCCACATGCTGCAGTTCACACGCCATGGCTCCCAGGTATGCTTCTGTTGCAACCCAAAGCACTTCTCCTTCCCCTCTCACCTCTCTGCAGCGTACACCACCGCACACACGAGTGCTCCCGTGTTCCCCAGGCGAACCTGGGCCGTGCGAATGAGATCTGTCACCCACATGCTGCAGTTCACACGCCATGGCTCCCAGGTATGCTTCTGTTGCAACCCAAAGCACTTCTCCTTCCCCTCTCACCTCTCTGCAGCGTACACCACCGCACACACGAGTGCTCCCGTGTTCCCCAGGCGAACCTGGGCCGTGCGAATGAGATCTGTCACCCACATGCTGCAGTTCACACGCCATGGCTCCCAGGTATGCTTCTGTTGCAACCCAAAGCACTTCTCCTTCCCCTCTCACCTCTCTGCAGCGTACACCACCGCACACACGAGTGCTCCCGTGTTCCCCAGGCGAACCTGGGCCGTGCGAATGAGATCTGTCACCCACATGCTGCAGTTCACACGCCATGGCTCCCAGGTATGCTTCTGTTGCAACCCAAAGCACTTCTCCTTTCCCTCTCACCTCTCTGCATCGTACACCACCGCACACGCGAGTGCGCCCGTGTTCCCCGGGCGAGTTTGAGCAGTGCGAGTGAGATACGACCCCCACATGCTGCCGTTCAAGCACTTGCCCATCTCCCACTTGCCCCCTTGCCCTGGCTTGCCCATTACAGTAATCAGCCCTGCGAGAGTCTGAAGAACGGGAGGCGATTGGGATTGGAATATTTAACAAGGTGCACAGCAGAAAGGCTCAACAGTAGGTGGTTTTTGAATCGACCCATGAAAACCTGTACCAATTTTTTTTTTTTTTTTTTTCGTAGACTAAATAATCCACCCATCACATTTCCATCAGGCGAGCACCGTCACAATGTGCGCTTAAAGATACTCTCTAGCTTGATTCCTTGTCCTGTGAGGTCGTGAGCCTTCTCCGAACGAACGTGCATCTGCCCAGCATGGGCCGGCACAAGCTGCTGCTGCATGAGATGATGAGGGCATGAGGGCATGAGGGCATGAGGGCATGAGGACATGAGGACATGAGGACATGAGGGCATGAGGGCATGAGGGCATGAGGGCATGAGGACATGAGGGCATGAGGGCATGAGAGCATGAGGGCATGAGGGCATGAGAGCATGAGGGCATGAGAGCATGAGGGCATGAGGGCATGAGGGCATGAGGGCATGAGGGCATGAGAACATGAGGGCATGAGGGCATGAGGGCATGAGAACATGAGGGCATGAGGGCATGAGAACATGAGATTATGAGGGCATGAGGGCATGAAAACATGAGATTATGAGGGTAGCACACCAACCCTGCCTCACCTCACCTGCATCTGCCCCACGTGGGCCAGCACGAGCTGCTGCAGCATGAGGGCGCGCTCCTTGCACCACACGCCCAGCGACTCCTCCCTGCGGCTCTCGTACTGCGAATGACGATCCCACAGCAGCCATGCCGCTATCACTGCGCCGCATGCAACCCACGCGACCACCAGCACCGTGAACAGGGGCGCTGGGAGCGGGAAGGGGAGGGAGGAGCGGTCGAAAGAGAGGGGGAAGCGAGGGGTGAGAGGGAGGGCTGCTGCTGTCACTGCGCCGCATGCTACACGACACCACCAGCACCGTGAACAAGGGAGCTGGGATGGGAATGGGAGGAAGAGGTAGGAGAGGGATAAGGATAGGGGGAAACGAGGGGTGAGAGGGAAAGGCTGCTGCTATCACTGCGCCGCATCATTGGGTCTGTCACCCAACAGTCACAAAATCCTTGGGACTTTCTTAAGCTTTCTTGAATCTTCTAGAAAAAATCATTCCTCAGTAGTAGTACTGAGACTCAAAATGGGCGATCCCTTTTTATCTCATGATGAGACCATACCAGACCAGCATGAGATCCATTGAGATCCCTAGGCATGAGTTATAGATCCCAGGCATGCGACCAGGGGCTGAGAAAGGCATGGGAGCGGCAGAAGAGGGGAGTGCGAGGAGATCATGTGGGAGGGACACGGAGGTCGTCTCGCCCTACTACTACTAGTAGTATTTTTTATCCTTAAAATACTAGTACTGAGCCTAAGCACACATTCCTCGTTTGTTACCCTGGAATAGCACCGAGGAGCAGCCGATTGGAGCTCCCGCCACTGCCGTGTCATCCTCCCCTTCCCCCGCCTGTTTCTGCTTCAAGCAACTTGGGACGCGCCTGCTCCAACCATCGCCGTCTGATTTCGACGGCGTCATCAGAAGCTGCTACTACTAGTACCGTCAGAAGCAGCGGCTGCTTTGCATCGCCAGCGGCGAAGCGGGCCTCGCGGCGGTATTTACTTAACCAAAAAGCTTGAAGCTAACAGTAGCAGCAGGGAACGGTTTATTACTCAGTCGCAGCTTACACATTCACTGAGAAAAGATGGAAGCAGCGATTGCTCTTCAATCTACTATCTGACAGCCACAGATGAAAACACACCGTCCTGGGATATGGCGTGTGCGAAGTATATATTGACGTGCTCCGACGTCGGAGCTCGACGTCGATCAACGTTTATCCACCGACGTCGATTGACGTCGAGTGTGGCACTTGAACACATTGCCGGTAACGAGCTGTCACTCAGGACAAATGCCAGTCTTAACAGTAGAATACTTGAACTGAGACCGTTGAACAAATGAATCGAGACGTAATCTTGAAATCGCAAAGTTTTTTCGTGCACGTTTTTTGTGCGTCTAATGGCTGCGAAAAACGCAATGCGAACTACACATGTTCGCATGCTCGAAATTACAAGTCATGGCAATCCATTGTTTTGTCTGATGTGGTCTGGCCATCACTGTAAAGATGCGCTCAATCTTTCTTTGATTGACCGATTCTGTCCTGGCACAATTTCACAATTCCGTCAGCAATTTTTGAAGACTTTGAGCACACCTTGCCCAGAACCTCGACGTGGATCGACGTCGGAAAAATGCAGCACTTTGAACAAGCAGTCAACCGCATTCTGAAGACGGTGGTCAGCCAACCAGCTGATTCAGTTCGGGAAACCCATTTCTTGGACACCATAGTCACAACCCCAACAGCTGAACCAATTCCCTGTTTCTCGCCATGGTAGATTTCGGTACAGTGGTATCCGGGCTTGGAAGACACGGTTGAAGGTGGTAATATTATGTTTCGGTGTGGTTAAGTTTGGATATTAAAAAAAAGACAAGGTCAGTGAGCCAGTTCCGTACACTTGATCATAGCGACAAAAATGTGTACAGTGAGATGCCAATGTCGCAGCAGATTCCTCGAGCGTTTCTTGGGGATACGATTGGATTTTTTATAATCAAGCAGTACAGCACGTGTCCAAACTCGGGCGCTGTACAATCTGAATTTCTAATTCAACTTGCATACGTCACATTTTCCTTCAAGCGCATGCGATGAATTTTCCCCGAAACTGTGAAACTGCACCAGAAAAGTGGCCCTGCTCGACAGGCAGGCAAACACTTCCACGTCACTTTCGCCGCTGTTTCGATTTAGGATTTTTTTCAACGGTCAGCCCGCGATTTAGTGTCTCTGGGCTTCAACGCCCCTTAACAAGAAGGGTTAAGGGTGAGCCTGTCGAACGCGACGCTAACCACTCAGCTTCAGCCCTCCCGAAAGTTCCCAGCCCCTTCTCTCACGCGTAGGCTTTAGCCTACCTCTAGCCCAGCCCTCCAACCCCCAGATTGGGGGTTGGCCAAGAGCTAGGCTAGGGTTTCATACGGGAGGGAAAACCCACGCCATACTCTACGAAACTTTTCCCTCCAGAGCCCGTGCCCTAGCCTCCCCAAACTCTGCCCTGAAATTGTCCTTTGCAACTGTTGACGCGTGAGAGAAGTGCCCGTTTTGTTTTCCTTTGGTTCACCCTGGTGCGAATGCCATCCCTCCCCCAAAATTTATACACTGCCCACGATGAACATGGTGGAAGGTGGGGCTGCAACATCGCTTTCAGCCCCCCCACCTTCCGACCTCGGGCGGCGCTGCTTCCGATTTGTGTTGGGGGGGGGGGGCCGAAACCACTTCGAAATCACCTCTTAGCTCTAGCCTAACCCTAGCGCTCCTAGGAGGTGCCTGCCTGTCGAGCAGGGCCAGTGTGTGGGACCTAGGCCCGCTGTACAATGCCCTTTCACCTACCAAAAAAAGTGTCCAGGTTTAAGGGAAACGGGCAGCTTGAAAGCATATTTATCTTGGGCTACTAAAAAGAAACTTGTTGCGTCCGAGCTGTCAAAGGAAAGCAAGCAGGCCAGGCTGTCGCAGTGGTTGGAAGAAAGTGACGTGAGGTGGCTTGAGGCCACCCCACTGCTGCACTCACATTCCCGCCAGACGTGAGTTGGCTTGCACGGCAATGACTTGGCTGCAGAAGGGTAGGGCAGACTGTACAGAGTGTCAGGGCAGGGTCACCCCGAAATATTCTCCTTCGATCAGAGCAGTACTGTAGTGTATAGTTAAGTGTGGGCTTGTGGTGAGCAGTTTTCTTTGACTTTTCGTTTGTCAGGCATTTTACAGTATTCCTGACGACAACACCGTCTACTGTACGTACTTACTGTACAGTACTCACTGAAAGACTGGGTGAGGTGAGGAACATTGTAAGTACACCTTATGCTCGATAGATTAGCACATTTTATAATAACAAAATTGCTTAGTGTAACCGCAACGGACCAAAGAAGGTCCTATCACATGCGTTATAGTGAAAATTTGACCCAAGGCGGTCAGTCAACGTTTCAAACTTCATAGAATGGTATTTTTGTTTTCAAAACGGTTGGGACGGTCATTTAACGTTAACGGTTTTTTACTGCCAAAGGCTTGTTTTGTCACCTCAAGCGACTTTGCCCGCAACCGAGTTATCGCACCAGTCCGCTACGTCCAAAGACTGTAGCCACTGCTTCCGCTGGTATGAAGGCCGAGAACATGGGTGTAACAGAGATAGACTAGCATATGTTATATTAACATACGCTATATTAACCAAGACGCTTTGTGTAGCCGCAACGGACCAAAGAAGGTCCTATCGCATGCGTTATAGTAACACTTTGACCCAAGGCGGTCAGTCAAGGTTTCAAACATCATAGAATGGTACTGTTGTTTTCAAAACGGTTGGGACAGCTATTCAGCGTGAACGGTTTTTTATTGCCCAAGGCTTGTTTCTTCACCTCGAGCGACTATGCCCGCAACCGAGTTATCGCACCGGCCCGCTACGTCCAGACACTGTGGCCACCGATTCCGCTTGTGCAAATTCCGAGAACGAGGGTGTACAGAGAACCAAAAGCCTCAATTTCAGTCCACATACAGTCTGAGTTCACGCGAAGGAATCTGAACTGAATCTGGCTGAACTGATTCTAACATAACACACCTGGATCTAGCCCACTACACCCTGTTTCTCGATTTTCGGACAATCGGGAGCCCCGGCTACAGTGCGCACGTGTGCTTGGATTCAGCGGGCTGGTGCTTGTAACCGAAATGCACTTCAGGAGAACGGTAAACAACGGTTCATGGAAGAAAACGTGCTTTTGCGTTCGGTTGTATACGGTAAATGTGCTTATATGGTATGTTCTGGGACCAATTTGGACGCATTCATGTCAGTACACCCGGCTTGTCAGTATGGCGAAGGTCAGTTTGGCGCGAAACAGGGTGTACACCTGTACAGTCGACAGCGCACCAAATGTACAGTGCGCTGTGTTTCGCTCAGTAGGTACTGTACCCGTACAGAATCTGGCGGTTCGTCAAGGACGGCCTTCCCCCTCTGAACACATCGAAGCGCGTTTCTGTACGCTCCAGGAAGTAGAGCACAATCAGCACCACGGTGTACCTTATAGAAATATTTTAGAAACATATAGAACTTCTGTTAATCCATCGGGTATGATATGATTTCACATTTACGCAGTAGTTTGTACAGCATGGCACACATGATTCACACGGATCGTATTATTCCTTATCTGAACTGATCGTAACATTCATTATAGTGTAGTCTCGGCTCTGGCGTCGCTACAGTCACAGCGTTGCCGTTAATAGTGCTATGACCCCGGCGAGCTTTAGCGTCACGAGCCGCGTAGCCGTCTAGGAGTCGGCGAAAGAAACGGCTTGGAGGAGTTTGCGAGAGAAGCGACCGTCATGGCGGAGGACCGAGTTAGAGGCGACGCGACTGCCCGCAAGACGGAGAGAGAGAAAAGGGATGATACTGCATCGGGAGGTCCTCTAATTTTCTCCCCAGGAGTGCTATTCCAGGGTGAGGGTGACAAGAACGAATGGGTGGCTCCTGCTCTTCAGGATTCCCTGTTAATCGCGAAATTCAGGTAGTCGACAACGCCAAGGCGCTTGAACGCAGAGTGCGGCGCTGTCGGTGTGAACGGCGAATCACTGCTCGTGAATTATCTTCGTTGGATAAACTCTGTGAAATAATGTTAAAAACAGACAATTGGGTCGGTTTGGCGAGGTGGAAATGGATTGTCCGCGCGTGTAATTTAGAATCCACAATTCGCGGATGGAGAGCCGGTAACACGCGCGGATGGATAGCTGAGAGCGGAATTGCGTGGGATTGAGAGCGGAGCGGAAAGCTCGGCGCTAGCTTACACGAAGTGGTAAAATGCAACTGCTGCGCCGTGGAGCAGAAAGGTGCGCGTAATGAGAGCGGAAATGCGCGCGGAATGAGCGCAGAGATGCGCGCATAATGAGAGCGGAGATGCGCGCGGAATGAGAGCGGAGATGCGTGCGTAAAGAGAGCGGAGATGCGCGCATAACGAGAGCGGAAATGCGCGCGTAATGAGAGCGGAGATGCGCGCGGAATGAGAGCGGAAATGCGCGCGTAATGAGGGGAGATGCGCGTGATGAGAGCGGAAATGCGCGCGGAATGAGCGCGGAGATGCGCGCATAATGAGAGCGGAGATGCGCGCGTAATGAGGCGGAGATGCGCGCGTAATGAGAGCGGAAATGCGCGCATAATGAGAGCGGAGATGCGCGCGTAATGAGAGCGGAAATGCGCGCGGAATGAGAGCGGAAATGCGCGCGGAATGAGAGCGGAAATGCGCGCGGAATGAGAGCGGTGCAGTGCAATCGTTTCCATCCCTCTTGATGGGTGCAGGTCTTCCTTCATCCGATTCCCCCCTACCCGATTCCCCCCTACCCGATTCCCCCCTACCCGATTCCCCCCTACCCGATTCCCCCCTACCCGATTCCCCCCTACCCGATTCCCCGCACCCGATTCCCCGCACCCGATTCCCCCTACCCGATTCCCCACACCTGATTCCCCCCATCCGATTCCCCCCACAAAACTCCCCCCCACCCGATTCCCCTCAGCCGATTCCCCTCAGCTGATTCCCCCAACCCGATTCCCCCCAGCCAATTCCCCCCAGCCGATTCCTCCCAGCCAATTTCCCCCACCCGATTCCCCCCAGCCGATTCCCCCCACATAATTCCCCCAACTTGATTTCCCCCATACGATTCCCTTCACCCGAATCCCCCACCCAATTCCCCCCACCCAATTCCCCTTACCCGATTCCCCCCACCCAATTCTCCTCACCCGATTCCCCCCACAAGATTCCCTCCACCCGATTCCCCCCACCCGATTCCCCTTACCCGATTCCCCCCACCCAATTCCCCCCACCCGATTCCCCGCATCCCTGAACCGACTCTCCTTTCTCTCTTCCCTCGCTTTCCCCTCTCATACTTCTTTCTCTCCCCCCCTCGCTGGCCACCTCTCCTTTTTCTCTCGCCTCCGTCTCACCCCCTCTCAGCCCCCTGGTTCACAGTGCTAATGGCAGCGTGGGTGCTGTGTGGGCTGGGCATGGCCGCATGGCTGCTCTATTGGAAGCACTCCCAACCCAATACGAGGAGCACACCTCTAAGCGTACCCCTTTCCTCCCTCGTTCCCCCTGCTTGTTCCCCCCTGCTCGTTCCCCCTGCTCGTTCCCCCCTGCTCGTTCCCCCTGCTCGTTCCCCCCCATCTCGCTCATCCCCACCTCTCTAGTCCCCCTCCCACTCAACCCCCTCTCAGCGCCCTGGTTCACAGTGCTGGTAGCGTCTTGGGTGCTGTGTGGGCTGGGCATGGCGGCATGACTGGTCTCCCTGATCAGCTCTCCCTTCCCATTCCTCCCTCCCCATTCCTCCCTTCCCATTCCTCCCTTCCCATTCCTCTCTTCCCATTCCTCTCTTCCCTCTCGCCCATCTCCCTCGCCCAGCGCCCTGGTTCACAGTGCTGGTAACGGCGTGGGTGCTGTGTGGGCTGGGCATGGCGGCATGGCTGGTCTCCCGGAAGCAACGTGTGAAAAGTGTATTTTTGAGAAACGGCTGCTCTCAAAAATACACTTTTCACAGGCGGCATGGCGGCATGGCTGGTCTACCGGAAGCACTCGCTGTATGAGAATCAGGCGCTGGGCGTGTGGTGCAAGGAGCGCGCCCCTCTCTCACGCTGCCCCCATCTCTAACCCCCCCTCTCTTCCCTCTCTCACCGCTCTCGTTCCTTCATCTCTCCTCTCTGCTCTCTCTTGCCTCCATCTCACCCCCTCCCAGCCCCCTGGTTCACGGTGCTAATGACAGCGTGGTTGCTGTGTGGGCTGGGCATGGCGGCATGGGGAGCCTACTGGAAGCACTCGCAGTACGAGAGCCGCAGGGAGGAGGCGCTGGGCGTTTGGTGCAAGGAGCGCGCCCTCATGCTGCAGCAGCTCGTGCTGACCCATGTCGGGCAGATGCAAGTAAGGCTGGCCTCCCACCCATGCTGGAAAGACCTAAACCGGGGTTGGATTGATGGTGGTGTTCCTACCTGCGGCAAGGAGCGCTGCAGCATGAGCTCATGCTGCAGCAGCTCGTGCTGACAAATGCCGGGCAGATGGTGGTGAGGTTGGGCTGGTGAAAAGACACAGCAGTCTCACCCCTTGCAGCATGGGTGCTGCCCTCCACCCTCCTGCCCTCCTGCCCTCATGCCCTCATCATGCTGCAGCAGCTCATGCTTACTCATGTTGTGCAGATGCATGCAGGTAAGAAAGAAAGATTGTTGTTGTTGTTGCTGCTGCTGCTGCTGCTGCTGCTGCTGCTGCTGCTGCTGCTGCTGCTGCTGCTGCTGCTGCTGCTGCTGCTGCTGCTGCTGCTGCTGCTGCTGCTGCTGCTGCTGCTGCTGCTGCTGCTGCTGCTGCTGCTGCTGCTGCTGATGCTGCTGCTGCTGCTGCTGCTGCTGCTGCTGCTGCTGCTGCTGCTGCTGCTGCTGCTGCTGCTGCTGCTGCTGCTGCTGCTGCTGCTCTTGCTCTTGCAATTGTTTTTTCCCTTCTCCTTGTTCTTCGTACTTTGCACTTTGTGTTCGTGATATTCGCTGATGCTACTGCTTACATGCTGTTCGCCCTGCCCTCTGTCCTCTTATCCGCACACCCTCACCCACATCATATCAGTGATGGGCAGGCCGGGGTGGAGGGGCAAGTGGGAAAACCGACATTCGATGCTGCTTTATGATGCTAATGCCCTGCTGTTGCTCTCTTCTCCCTGTCCTCCCATCCACAGACCCTCACAGGCATCATATCAGTGATGGGCAGGCCGGGGCGGAGGGGCAAGTGGGGGTTGGACGTGTGTTTGAATGGCAGCACCTGGGAGGCCTACCTTACTTCCACCGCCTACGCCCGCCCAGGCAACACGGGGGCAACTGCGTGTGTCTTTGTCACGGACCAGGAGAGGTGAGAGAGGGAGGGGAGGGGGGAATGTGGTGGGAGGAGAGGGATATGTGGTTGAACGGAAGCACGTGGGAGGCCTACCTCAGAGGCTTGCTTGCCTCACTCGCACCGCCTGTGCCCGCCCGGGCAACACGGGGGCAACTGCGTGTGTCTTTGTCACAGATGAGGAGAGGTGAGGAGCGGGGAGACGGGGGGAAGGGGGGGTGGGAAGGGAGAGGGGGGCAAGAGGGTGTGGAGGTCCAGGAGGCGTACCTCACTCACACCGCCTATGCCCGCCCGGGGAGCACGGGGGCGCGTCTTTGTCATGGATGAGGAGAGGTGAGGAGAGGTGAGGAGAGGTGAGGAGAGGTGAGGAGAGGTGAGGAGAGGTGAGTGTGGAGGGAGGGATGTGGTGGTTGGTGGAGGTGTTTGTTTAATGCGAGGGAAGGTGGATGTGAGGTGAGGGGGCAACACGTCAGCGCCCACCACCGCCCCATCTACTGCCCCAAGGTCCTAGATTTCTTCACAGTCGTAGCAGCGAATGCCTCATGGCACATTGACCTCTTTTTGAGGCGCCTCAAGAATGCCTCATGGCACATTGACCTCATGATGAAGTGGTTCTCCTCCACCCTCTTTCCGATCTCCTCTATCCTCGTTCCTCCCGATTCACCCCACAAACATCGCTACTTCAGGGCGACCTTAGAAGCGACTGTACGGTACCATAAAGGACAACACTAGGAACGGCAGCGCCCACCCTCCCATATACTAACCCAAGATCTTAGATCTCTCCACAACGCTCTCTTTGCCTTCCCTTCCTACCTGATCCCAATCCACCCCCACACCACACATCATTACAGGGCGACCTTTGAGCGACTATACGGTACCATCATGGACAACACCAAGAACGTCAGCGCCCACCGCCCCATCTACTGCCCCAAGCTCCTAGATTTCTCCACAGTCGTTGCAGCCAATGGCTCGTGGCACATCGACCTCATGAAGCGATTTGTTACAGAGATTCCCCTTGCCGTGGCGGGAAAGGCGCTCTTTACGTGGCCGTATCCCATGGCTAATTCTACCGACCATGCTGGATTCGGTAAGTCCCATAGGATTGCTTAGGGTGTTGAAAGTAAGGCACGTGCATTGAGGTAACGACCTTAATTGCTTAGGGTGTTGAAAGTAAAGCATGTTCGGTGAATGAGCTTTCGGTTGTTTTTTTTTTAAGGCAAACATTCAGTGCTAAGAGCTGAGTAGCATTCAACGCACTGCCTCTTGGCAAAATATCAGGCTTGAGTTTTCCTCTTCGGCGCACTGTCTCTCCGACCAACACAAGCAAGGTGGCTGTTTCGACAGTGTACGGGCTGCTTGTGCCTCTATTCAAGTTCACGAAGCCTTATTGTTATGCCCTCCTCACATTGTCGCCCGTGCAGGCTTGGGCTTTCCACTTCGGCGCAGCGTCGCTCCGACCAACACAAGCAGGGCGGCTGTTTCGACAGTGTATGGCACACTTGCAGCTTCCGTTGACGTGACATCCATTGCACAGAAGGTTCTGGGAGAGTTGTATGCACCTGGTGGGTGAAGGGCTGTAAGCACCTGGTGGGTGAAGGGCTGTAAGCACCTGGTGGGTGAAGGGCTGTAAGCACCTGGTGGGTGAAGGGCTGTAAGCACCTGGTGGGTGAAGGGCTGTAAGCACCTGGTGTGCTCACAACAGCACTAGCCACACGAGCTAGTCAGCTGCTGCATCGACAGTGTATGGCACACTTGCCGCATCTGTTGGCGTGACATCCGTCACGTCCTGGAAGAGTTGTCACACCAGGTAGTGAGGGGCTGTACGCACCAGGTAGGTGAAGAGCTGTACGCACTACGTGGGTCCAAACTTGCAGGTACATACAAGGTTGTACAAGGTTGTACAAGGTTTTCTCTTGTTGCAATGGAGGCTTCCCTGGTTAAGAAAACTAGAAACCTATCTGCACCTTTGCCTCCTACGCTTGTGCTCTGAGGTCTACCGAGGAGAGAAGGACACGCGAGGTTCAGACATGTCTCAGTGAGGCTCACTGAGTCATGTCTGAACCTTGAGTCTACCGAGGAGAGGAGAAGGACAGACAAGGATGGCGCTGTCCTTCTCCTTCCTCCCTCCTGTTTTGAGACGTCTCAAACAAAACACGTCTACCGAGTTTTCCGATGGCGCTGTCCTTCTGCTTCCTCCCTCCTCAACCTCCATTTCAAACTCCAACCCTTTCCCCCTTTCCCTTCCATCTAGACTCGTCCAATTCCTTCAAGATGTATGACGTCACAGACCCCTCTTCACTCCCTGCCATCGTCTCACCAGTCCCACCACACATCTACTTCCGGCCCAACGCCTCTTGCCCCTACATGCTGCCCCCTCCGGACTCCCCTCAATAAGCAAGTTAACTCAGAACAATCCAGCAAAGTTCCCGTAACCCCTCGTTCATGCTCTCCTTTTTCTCTCCCTCTCTCCCTCTTCCTCTCTTCCCTCCGTCTTCCCACCCCCCTTGTGCAGATTCATCCAAATCATTCGAGATGTACGATGTCACAGACCCGTCCTCTCTCTTCGCCATTGTCTCACCGGTCCCCCCACACATCTACTTCCGCCCCAACGACTCTCGCCCCTACATGCTGCCCTCTCCTCTCTCCGAAACTCGCCCCTGGGAAGCACCGGCGGTGGTGCCTCTAGATCAGTTGGGGGCGGGCGTGCGCAAATATGAGGCGTGGTGCCGGTGAGCTTTTGAAAACACTGTTGGTGGTAGCGAACTCGCATTGCAGGTAAGTCCTATCGTTGTTGCCCTATTCTTGTTCATACCCTTTCGCTCCCGTGGCACAATACATGCATGTGCACCCTTCCTATATCACACGATATTGCATAGGCTCCTGCATAATTTTTTATCAACCCTACATTGTTCTCCTGCACTTGCACAACCAATAGATAGAACCTTACTACGGTATTGTTCTCTTCTCCCATCCAAGCACACACAACCCTCCAGCACGTGACACTTGTCGTGGGCCATCCCCTTCCCCATCGCCCTCCTGCTCTGCCCTTGTACAGCAATGAGTATCTATAACCGACATGCCCTCTTCCTGTTATTCCCCTCTTCCAGAAACACACAACCTTCCAACGCGTGGCAATCATGGGGCATCCCCACCCTCATTGCCCCTTTTACCCTCCTCCTCGTGCTGCTCGTGCTGGTGGCGGCACGGATTCAGCGAGCCCAGTTCTTCCAGACGCAGCAGCAGATGGCAGACGCAGACAAACTGAGGAAGGAAGCGGAGGGCGCAGAGGCATCAAAGAGCATGTTCGTGGCGTGCATGTCTCATGAGCTGAGGACACCAATGATGGGGATCATTGGTAAGACAGAATGCTTTTGTTACATTGCCACTGCTGTTGTTTGTATCAGCCACACGCAAGTGGTAAAATGGTGGCCTAAGCATCTGAATGTTGCTAATATTAACCCTAATTCCTCAACCCTTTGCTCATAGCGTTCATCCATGTCACGTTCTCCCTCATACCATACACATTCTTTTCTGCACCCCTCTCTCCCACCAGGCATGCTCGATACTCTAGCAGACATGACTCTTCAGCCCCCTGAACTATCAGACCTCCTAACAGCACGGGGTTGCACGATGGATGCACTGCATCTGGTCAACCGCGTGTTGGACCTGGCGAAGCTGGAGGCAGGCAAGGCGGTGGTGGATGAGGCGGTGGTAGACGTGAGGGAGTGGCTTCATGCTGCTTTGGACTGGCACATAGAGGAAGCACGCTCTCAGGGGATTGAATGTGAGTGTTCAGGACACTGGTAAGGGCAGGCAAGGCGGTGGTGGATGAGACGGTGGTTGACGTGAGGGAGTGGCTTCGTGCTGCTTTGGACTGGCACATAGAGGAAGCACGCTCTCAGGGGATTGAATGTGAGTGTTCAGGACACTGGTAAGGGCAGGCAAGGCGGTGGTGGATGAGACGATGATTGACGTGAGGGAGTGGCTTCGAATCGCTTTGGACTGACATGCTGAGGAAGCACGCTCCAAAGGGATTGAATGTGAGTGAACGAGATGTTTCTTGGATGTTTCTTGGATTCAATCTTTGGTATGCTTGGATTAGTTGTGTCGTAGAACATGTATGGAAATGGATGTGTTCCACCCTTGATCAATGACTGTGTTCGTATTGGGGAGTGAAACACGTGCTTGCTCACTCACTCACATTAGTTTCCTTCTGTGTGCTCCTCATGATGTACAGCGCCGAGTATTCTCCGTCAACCTGGATATTCCAAATATCTGCTTCCCTCATGCTTCCTTAATTTGCTATGCCCTTTTTCTTTGTTCCGTTTCTTTGTTTTGGACTTCCACCCACCTGGTTTGTTTCTCCATCCCCTGTAGTTTGCGGCAGTGTGGACGACGATGTTCCCACGTACATTATTGCCGACTGGATGCACCTCTCCAAGGTTCTCAAAGAGATTATTGGTACGTGTGGTGGTAGGTATGAGCAGATGAGCACATGTCAGATTCGAACCAGTCCACCTCAAACTGAACCCGAACTGTTGTATGTCGATTCGTCCATGTAAAGCTTGCATTCTTCGATTTCACTGACGGAGTTTCCGACCTGCTATGTTCGAGATGCATGCTTAGCAAGTGGGACGTTGCTTGGTCCTTAACAGCCGCCATACACTTCCAGAATTCTCAAAAGGGACGTTGGCCCTTTGACAGCTGTCATGCACTGATTGGAAATAGGAAAGAAGTGCATCGAGTACGATTCATGCCGACCCGGCAAGCCATAAAAACAGCTGGTCTGAGCTGGGCCAATCCATCCAAATGCTTATGCATTGATGATAGCCCAACTGTTGCTAGGTGGGAACTAGCCACTTGCCTTCATCAATCAGCACGAGCGATAGTTGTGTGTTCGTATTCTAGTCCTTGATTATTCATGATATATGTTTTTTTCTTCTTCTTCTTCTTCTTTTCTTTTTCTTTTTCTTTTGTTTTCTTTTCTTTTCTATCTGCTGGACATTACCACCTCGGTTCATTTCAGATAACGCAGTCAAGTTCACGGAGCAAGGCCACGTGACAGTGCGGGTGTCCCTATTTCCACAAGGGACAAGTTTGCAAGACACCCTTCATCTCCAGGGTAAGCAACTTTTTGAGCAATGAAAACTCCATATAGAACCCACTATGTAAACAATTTCTGCTCACTTTGTTACACCATTACTCATTCCCTCTCTTCCCCTGCCCTTCGCACTCGTGTTTCCCCTCTAGGCCTTTCCACAGCCGCCCCTCACGCACCCACTTCCACACTCACCAGCTGGAAGGCTGTCTGGTCTTCCTCATCATGGGTCTGGCTGAAGGACACCTTCAAGCAATTGCCAGCAGCAGCAGCAGCAAGTGTGGCGAGAAACACACTATGTGGATCGAGGGAGGGGAGTCCTGAGCCGGGGGAAGGGGATCAGGCGGGTGTGCTGGTGGTGTCGTGCCGGGATTCGGGGTGCGGCCTGCCAGTGTCTCTCCTGGGAGTCCACAGCAGAAAGGAGGTTTCACACTTCTCCCTCCCGGTGAGTTATTATTACCACTCACGTTGCTGGTGGTGTCGTGTCGGGATTCAGGGTGCGGCCTGCCATCCCATGGTTTTCCATCCCATCCCATGCCATCCCATGCCATCCCATGCCATCCCATGCAATCTCAGGGTGTATTTCTTTTCGTGTCAAGGATACTGTTCGTGTCATTCCAGATACCCAGGTATTTCTAGTGATGCATTGTACAAAAGTCCTAAGGGCGTTTCACCTCCAAGTTCGAACAAGCCTCTTGTTCGAACAGGCGAAATGTTACAATCTTCGCCAGCTTTCGTAGAAACCTTAGCGATGTCGTTAACCAAAATTTTCGCCAATCCGAACAGCGCTGTCACATCAGGCATGTTGCCAAATGTGTTGCATGTTCGAACAGCCCTGTTCGAACACAGAATGATAGGCGTGCCCCACCCAGCACGGACGACACGCCTGATTGGACATCACCCCGCCTAGTCGCAGGCGAATTCGTTTTTCACCAGAAACTGTCGCAGTGCATCGAAAAGAGCATTGTAGCTGGGAAACAACTAGGTGAGCAGTAGTAGAAGAGCACGAAGAGACAGTTTGACTGGATGGGCGAAAAATGGGTCAAACTGGAATGGCCGGCGACTGAATTTTTTTTTTGCGACGTTTCGCGAAATCGCCCAATACTTGGCGACATCGAATGTTCGAACAGGCTGTCACCTCTGGTCACGAGCTGTCACATTCACCAGGGTGTTCAAATTTGTGTTCGGATCTTGTCGGGAAACTGTTCGTACAGTGAATTCGCTACGTATGTTCGGATTTGGGCCTTCCAGCCCCGAGGTGATGCGCCCTAAAATCCGTCTAGATTCATGAGTACCAATATTCTTGGATGACACAAACAGTATCCTTGACACGAACTGAATTACGCCCTCATGCTATCCCTCTCATCCCATCCCATCCCATCCCATCCCATCCCATCCCATCCCATCTCATCCCATCCCATCGCATGCCATGCCATCTGATGGATCATCGTAGCTCTAATTCCTTGACACCCCATGGCATGGCTCCCACCCCACCCAGGAGTTGCACGAGGCAGGGAGTGGGTCAGGAGCATCGCTTGGTCTCGTGCTCATGCACCAGATGGTGAGCTGCTGGTTCCTGGTTTGTTTTTTTGCTTGTTTGTTTGTTTGCCCCATCCTCATTTTGAGTGCACTGGGCATGATATGTAAGTGCTTGCACGGAAAACACACACACGTGCACGTGCACCCACACACATACACAGAGTGATTTTACTGACAGTGCTTTTGTTTTTGTAACTCGCAGGTGACTCTAATGAAGGGAGAGATCGCCTGTGCTTCCCAGCCTGGCTGTGGATCCACTGTGGCCCTTTCCGTACCCGTGGCCGTTCCCTCGATACAAGAACACCCCTCGATACAAGAGCACTGCTCAGACGAGGAACCAGAAGTGTTGGAGTCGCAAGAATTGCCGAGTCAGCAGCAGCAAGGGGAGGCGCCATGGTTCTGTGAGAGTCAGGAAACAGGGTCATGTGATTCCCTAGGTGGTTCCAGCAGTGCTCGTTTGGTGGAGACAGGCTCAGGAGATTGTTCAGGTGTCGGCAGCAGTACGCGGATTCAAGGGTCAGGACGGATGGACCAATGCAACGAGACGACTCTGCTTTCACTACACAGCCAGGAGAATTTTCAGGTGGCCCAACAAAACATCAACCAGCAGCAGCAGCAGCAGCAGCAGCAGTTGCAGCCACTGCAGCCACAACAGCAACATGAGCGAACACTAGTGGGAACGGGGAGGGTGGGCAGTGCAGGAGAAGGCTCTACAGTCTACGAGAGAAGAGCAGCAAGCGGGAGAGCGAGAGAGAGGTTCCGGCGATGCGCTTCTGTAGCCGAAATCACTGCCGCAACCACCGGGCTACGGGCGGCGGCGGATGAGGCGGTGACGCGGGCGTGGGTGGGAGGGCTGCGAGTGCTCGTGGTGGACGACACGCCCGTCAACCTCCTCGTGGCCCGCCGCTCCCTCGCCCGCTGGGGCGCCCGAGTCACCACTGCTGCCACCGGCCAGGAAGCTGTTGAGATTATCACTGCGGGCCTCACCCGCTGGGGCGCCCGAGTCGCCACCGCCTCCCGAGGGGAGGAGGCAGTTGAATTGATCGCTGCTGGCTTGCAGCAGGGAAGGCAACAGCAAGCAGTTGCCTTGCAGAGTGCTGAGCTGGAAGGAGGGAAAGGGGAGGAAGAGGGGAGAGGAGGGGCTGGTGAACTAGTTAGAGCAGGAGCAGGGGGTGCTGGTAAGATGGTTGAGAGTAGAGGCAAGGGGATGGCAGATGGGATGGCTGGGAATAGTGCAGAGGGGATGGCAATTGAAACATTGGGGGATGGAAGAGGAGGGGATGGAAGAGGAGGGGATGGAAGAGGAGGGGATGGAATGGGCGGGGATGGAAGAGGAGGGGATGGAAGAGGAGGGGATGGAATGGGCGGGGATGGAAGAGGAGGGGATGGAATGGGCGGGGATGGAAGAGGAGGGGATGCATCATGGTGTCATGCGTTCGACTTGGTTCTCATGGACCTGCAGATGCCAGGCATGGACGGGTGAGTGGTTGTGAGTGGTGGTGAGTGGTGGGCATGGATGGGTGAGTCACAAAGCAAGGTGCAACGGTTGAGGCTCATCTGTGCAAGTCAAGTGTGTTTCCTGTATTGCTCCTCCCTTCCCCTTCCCATAGCAAAGTGTGAACCTCAAGAGTGCGAGCCTGTATCTCCCCTCCCTTGCCTTGGCAGGTTCGCAGCAACAGATGCAATCCGAGCGCTCGAAAGAAAGCTTATTTTGGAGATGAATCGAGAGGCACAGCAGGGAGGGGAACAGGCAGGGGAGCAGGGAATGGAGAAGGGAAGGAAGCAGCAAGAAGCATTGGCTTGCAAGGGACATTTGGGAGAACAACAGGGAAACGCACAGCAGAGGGACATCCGGGAGGGCTTTGGGGGAGAGCAGCAGCTCCTGGGGGTATGCACAGGCGGGGCGTCAGCTGTGGAGGGGACTGGGGGAGGGGAGAGAAATTTGTGCAGCAGGAAATTGGAGGAGAAGGGCGGATTGAGGGAGGAGAAGGGCGGATTGAGGGAGGAGAAGGGCGGATTGAGGGAGGAGAAGGGCGGATTGAGGGAGGAGAAGGGCGGATTGAGGGAGGAGAAGGGCGGATTGGGGGAGGAGAAGGGCGGATTGAGGGAGGAGAAGGGCGGATTGAGGGAGGAGAAGGGCGGATTGGGGGAGGAGAAGGGCGGATTGAGGGAGGAGAAGGGCGGATTGAGGGAGGAGAAGGGCGGATTGAGGGAGGAGAAGGGCGGATTGAGGGAGGAGAAGGGCGGATTGAGGGAGGAGAAGGGCGGATTGAGGGAGGAGAAGGGCGGATTGAGGGAGGAGAAGGGCGGATTGAGGGAGGAGAAGGGCGGATTGAGGGAGGAGAAGGGCGGATTGAGGGAGGAGAAGGGCGGATTGAGGGAGCTTCTAGAGCTGGTTCCTCTGCTCTGAAAGCCCTTCCCCTGGATGCCTCTAACGTTGCGTCTGCTATATCGACTGCCCGGCCCGTCTTCCTGTGGGTGCCCATAGTGGCGCTGACGGCAGACGTGGACCGCGGAGTGGTGCAGAGGTGTGCAGAGGGGGGGTTTGACGGTGTGCTGCAGAAGCCAGTGGATGCCCACCTGCTCGCCGCCCACCTCTCCCAAATAAGCTTCCACCGCTCCCTCAGGCGATAACATACACTCCTCTACCCCTTCCAAACCGTCACTCACCGCTGAATGCCCACCTGCACGCCGCCCACCTCTCCCAAATAACCTTCCAGAGGTCACTAGGTGGTAACAGACACTCCTCTACCCCTTCCGAAAAGTCACTCGCCGCCGAATGCCCTCCTGCTTGCCGCCCACCTCTCCCACATGCAATTCCACTGCTCGCTTGGTCGGTAGCAGACAGACAGACACCCCTGCACTCTCACGCTCGCACCGCTTCCACTAACCCCTGCACTCTCACGCTCGCACCCCTTCCACTAACCCCTGCACTCTCTCGCTCGCACCCCTTCCACTAACCCCTGCACTCTCACGCTCGCACCCCTTCCACTAACCCCTGCACTCTCACGCTCGCACCCCTTCCACTAACCTCTGCACTCTCACGCTCGCACCCCTTCCACTAACCCCTGCACTCTCACGCTCGCACCCCTTCCACTAACCCCTGCACTCTCACGCTCGCACCCCTTCCACTAACCCCTGCACTCTCACGCTCGCACCCCTTCCACTAACCCCTGCACTCTCACGCTCGCACCCCTTCCACTAACCCCTGCACTCTCATGCTCGCACCCCTTCCACTCACCCCTGCACTCTCACGCTCGCACCCCTTCCACTGACTCAATCAGTCAGGCTGCTTTGCAGGCCACTCCCACACAAAGTATTGACGCATACGGTAGTCCTGACGCATACGGTAGTCCTGACGCATACGGTAGTCCTCAGTCCTGACACATGACACGTTGGAGAACGCTTGCCATAACGAAGTTTGACGGGCAAGGCCAGGCCAGGCCAGGCCAGGCCAGTCCCTACCGACAGTAGGCACCCGATCACCAGACCAGGGGTTTTGTTGAGTCGACCAAAAAGAAGGTTTGGCATAACAAAGCTTGACGAGGAAGGCCAGGGGCTTAGCCCAGGCCAGGCCCTACTGACCGTAGGCACCTGAGCACCGTTCCAGAGGTTTTTTGCCGCTGTCATCCCCGTAAGAAGGGGACTGGGGGTGGGAGGTAAAGTAACCTAACCACGTGCACTTCTTCCATCGACCCGGGTTGTATCACAAGTTCTCTGTACAGTACATACTGGGTTTGTGATTCTTCTGAGCAGATTCTCTTTGGGCGTACTTGTTACAAATGCTTGGCAATAAGGGCGTGGAACATTTTTCCGAACATGCCAAATGGTCGCCTGTATGGTTGGATCTGGCGATTGCGAAGAGTGTAACAGAGATGCGAAGGATGCGAGATTTTTAAGCTATTCTGTTCGCCGGAACGCGGGGCACCCACTAATAACTACCCCCACTAAGAAAAAACATCCGATCCTAGTTTAAGCATTCGAAAGGGGTGTGGAACCTCGGGGGAAGCGGAGAGTTGTGTTTTGCAAGTAGAGTTGGGCTGGAAAACACTTTCGGGGTACAATCGAAGTTAAACGTTGTCCCACTTCTCTGGACAGTGTGGGTTTGGGTGAAAAAAAACCTACGAGAAATACCATGGACATTCGGTCGAGTGAGGGTGAATACTGGGCATGTCACACGGTGGGGTTTCCCTAAATGCTTCGCAATCGCCAGAAGCAACCGTAAATTCGACCATTCTACGTGTTCGTAAAAATGTTCCACGCCCTAATACCGTATCCCCCCGGATAGTAGCGCATATGCGCTTATAATAAAATCGATTTTTTTAGGGGGTGCGCTTATAAATGAGGAAAGGGCATAAGCGCATGCGCTTAAGAAATGGAAAAATGAATTTTGTTTTTAAGGGTACCAAATCGAAGCTCCCATTAAGGCGAACACGCCCGTAAAACGTTCACGTCGGTTTCGTGCATGAAATGCAGGCGAAAACAGCCGCGGCTCGGTTACCCACCGCACAAATCCTGTCCCGGAGCAACGCATCTGCCAACGCTGACTCGGAAGCTGCCGTGCGGCCCAATCCCGTTCGCATGCGTTGCCAGGCAAGGACAACTCATCCGATCCCTCTAGAAGGGATCGGATATGCCCTGCCACCGCAGCATGTGTGCCGCCCGTTTCCCTCCTCTGCGGGTTCAGACTGTGGGGGTACCCGTCTATCATTGACGAGGACGGCGAGCCGCTTCCCCGCAGGGGTCCCGTCCGAAGCCCATTTCTTCTCATTTCTTGCTTGCCTTGATTCAGTTTAGCATGTTTCGCCCGCCAGGCTGCAGAAGCCATGGCGGAATTCACTGGCACCCACTTCCTTTTTAAGAAGAAACCTAGGCCCGCGTACCGTGTCGACGCTGATGGCTGGTATACCCGTATCCCACCATCGCCCCCAGAGCCACCACAGCCTCCTGCGCCGCCGGTGCCTCCATCTCCTCCATGTCCTCCTACACCTCCAGCACCACCTGCTCCTCCAAGTCCCCCCGTGTTTGCAGGCCCATCAAATCCTCCTGTGCTGACGCTCCTGCACCCGTCGGCGTTCGACGAGTACCTATCTGAACCTGACAGCAACAAGCCTCCCGACGTCTACGTTCGAGCTCCGCCGCCGGCACCACGATGGGGCCAGCCGCAAGATTGTGCATGGGACGAATCTGGTGTGGGCGCTGACGACGATGTGCCCGACACGGAGGCTCGCACCGAGGCCGGCACCGACACTGGAACCGACACTGCGAGGCTTCTTCGCCAACAACTGCGAGGAGCCAGAGTCTGGCGATGAGTAGATTTTTAGTTAGGAATGTTCGTAAATTTTCGTGTGAAATGAGAGAAATTGGTAGAGGCAATTGTAGAAGAGATGTTAGTGTATGTCAAATATTATAGCCTGTAGTGGGTTGGGCTATATGGGGTACAACTAGTTAGGGTTAGGTTATGTACCCCAATTCTGTCAATGCAACACATTCCGCTGTCATTCAGACATGGTATCAGCAGTAGGTTAGCGCTCCTAGCCCTAGGCCCGCCCGTCCCTACCATTAGGGTTACCACTGCGCCCCGCCAGCCCGCCAGCGCCCTACCCCACGCCCCAGCCGGCGCGCCCCTCCCCTCCCCGCCCTTAGCCAGCGCGCACGCCAGCCAGCCAGCGCGCCAGCCAGCCAGCGCGCCAGCCAGCCAGCACGCCTGCCAACCAGCGCGCTAGCCCGCCAGCCAACCAGCGCGCCAGCGCGCCGGCCAGCCTGCGCGCCAGCCCGCTTGCACGCCAGCCCGCCAGCGCGCCCGCCAGCGGGCACACCAGCGAGCCCGCCAGCTCGCCTCCCAGCGCGCCCGCCAGCGAGCTCGCCAGCGCGCCCGCCAGCGAGCCCGCCAGCGCGCGCCCGCCAGCACGCACGCCAGCGCGCCCGCTAGCGCACCCGCCAGCGCCCCGCGCCAGCGGGCCCCGCCGGCGCGCACGCCAGCGCGCCGCGCCTGCCAGCGCGCGCCCTGCCTAGCCGCCCGCCAGCGCGCCGCGCCCGCGCGCCACGCCAGCCAGCGCGCGCCCCGCCAGCGCGCGCCCCGCCGCCCCGCGCCCAGCCAGATCGCGCACCCGCCTCGCACTCACCTCCCTCTCCTCCTCCTCTCGCGGCTGGCGGCCGCTATCACTTGTTCTCGCCCCTCATGGCGACGTCTCGCGTGCTCCGTTTCGACCCTGAGGGGCGCGCGATCGACTTTAGTACCTGGCTGACGCAGGCCCAGCGCCACCTTAGGAGCCAGCGCCAGGATGGCGTGCACCTGTTTGCGCATGCGTCCGGTGCTCTGCCCGCCCCGCCGCAGCCTACACCGCTGCCCACTACCCCACCGCCTACTTCCGAGCAGGAGGCTGAGTACCAGCGCCGGTTCCTCGCTCGTGACGTGTGGGAGTCTCGTGACGCTGCTGCCTGCCTCGCCCTGACCGACCTTCTCCCGCCGACTGAGGCCGTCCACTTCACTCAGGTCGAGTCTGCTGCAGCCCTTTACACTGCTATTGTTGCTCGCTACTCCACTCCCTCCTCTGCCTCCCTCAGCCGCCTTCTCGTCCCCTTTATCTACCCTGACCTCGCCTCCTTTGAGACTGTCGCTGACCTCGCTACCCACCTGCGCTCCCTTGAAGCTCGCTTCAAGGCCGCTTGCACTGAGGAACAGCTTGCCCTTGCACCCCCCCCCATGTGGCTCACTATTCACTGGTTAGTCACTCGCCTCCCTGACCGTCTAGCCACAGCCCGCGACGCGCTTCTCCTGAAGCACCCCACTGAGCTTACTATCGATCTTCTTGAGACCGCTCTCTCGAAGATCGAGAGTAACCTCCTCGCTGTTGCCTCCGCCTCTTCCGCGCCTCCTCCTCGTCTCTTTGAGGGGTGTGCGGTACCACAGCTTCCCACCTTCACTGCCTCGCTTGCCACTGCCGCGTCTTCTGCCTCTGAGGAGACGGCGGCCGTTTCTGTCTCTGGCGGACAGAAACGTGGCAAGTCCGGCAAGAAGGGAGGGAAGGGCGGCGGGGGTTCTGGGGGTGTTGCGGGTGGCGGCGGTGGCGGTAGTACTAGTGGCGGGGGTGGCGGCGGGGGTGACTCGGGACCTGACGGCTCTCCTCTAGACGGTGGTGAGGGGTTTCCGCAGCAGCAGCAGCAGACTCCTCCGCAGCTGCCACCGCCTGGACAGCAGCAGCGGCAGGGACAGCAGCAGCAGCGCCAGGGCCAGCAGCAGCGTCCGCCTCAGCAGCAGCCCCAGCAGTGGGGCACTCAGCAGCAGTGGGGCACTCAGCAGCAGTGGGGTCCTTCGCAGCAGTGGGGCCCCCCGCAGCAGTGGAGACCTACGGGCCCCCCGAGCACTGGGCGCAGTGGTGCCCCTTCTAGTCGGGGACCCCGCTCGGC